AAGTGGGAAGAGGGGAATATGCATATATGTGTCCAGCTCACTCATTGTATATGAAGCACCATTCCCCGAACGTGATGTGGAGCAGTTGTGGCTCAAAGTTGGCCTCCATGGACAGGATGAGTTGTTGCTTGGATGCATTTACCGCAGTCCCTCCGGGCCCATACAGGAAAGCACTGAACAGCTGTCAAGTACATTGAAAGAGGCATGTAATCATGGAGCATCCCACCTGATGATTGCGGGAGATTTTAACCTCCCCCAAATTAACTGGGAAAGCGAGGTGTCCACAGCCCCTGAGACTCATCCTTCTCATGCTGTCATTGAATGCATTCACGACTGCTTTCTTTACCAACATGTTCGAGAGGCGACACGATACCGAGTGGGTGAAGCTCCAAGCACTTTAGATGTTATACTAACCAATGAAGAGGGCATGGTAAGAAATGTTGAATACCATCCCTGCCTGGGAAACAGTGATCATGTAGTTCTTCGTTTTTCACTGGTATGCTACTCAGCAGCCAAAATTCTTCCCAAGGACCAGAGGTGCCGTGTGGACTTCAATCTACTGGCTACAACCCTAGCCTCCATCGATTGGGGCCATATGACTTCCATGGACTTGACTGACGCTTACTCCTTCTTCAAGGGCAAATGGGATTGGGCTGTCAAGCTGTGCACCCGAGCAGTGCCAACTGCCCTCAGGTCCAGAAACCTGTACATGGACAGGCAAGCCATCCAGCTGAAGAAAAAGAAGTCCCAGCTATGGAAGATCTACATAAGGTCTAAAGATGTGATCGATTTTGCCAGGTACGCAACGTGTCGCAACAGGCTTAGAACTCTAACGAGAAACCTTCGTAGGAGCTTCGAAAAACAACTAGCATCAAGGATAAAGGACGATCCAAAAGCTTTCTGGAGGTACACGTCATCAAGATTGAAAACAAGATGTGGAGTTGGTGACCTCAGGGACGAAAGGGGCGAAGTCGCTACATCAAATCATGAAAAAGCCTGTATATTGAACAGGTTCTTTGCCAGTAACTTCACAGAGGAAGGCAGCGATGATCTACCAGTACTGACAGTCGAGCCGGTTTGTCAACCAGCTGATGACATTGAGATCACGCCCGCGACTGTTGCTGAGAAGCTCTCCTCGTTGAAGACAACCAGTGCCCCAGGACCGGACTCCATTCATCCTAGAGCCTTGCGAGAATCTGCAAACGGCCTTGCTCTCCCGCTGTGCACTCTGTTCAGGAAGTCGCTGGACTCCGGAATCCTTCCTCCGGACTGGAAGACTGGGAATGTGATCCCGATCCACAAGAAGGGAGACAAACGGTCCCCGGGAAACTACCGGCCGGTGAGCCTCACCTCTGTCCCCTCCAAGATACTTGAGTCCATGGTGAGAGACCGACTGATCTCGCACCTGACTGACAATGACCTGCTGCACCCAGCTCAATATGGGTTTCTGCCGAAGCGGTCTTGTACTTCTCAGCTCTTGGAAGTTCTGGACGACTGGAGCGCAGCTATTGAGGATGGTAAACCAGTCGACGTATGCTACCTCGATTTTGCAAAAGCCTTCGACTCGGTCCCTCATAAGCGCCTCCTCGGGAAACTGAAGGCATATGGCATCTCCGGCAAACTCCTACGGTGGATAGGATCATTCTTGACTGGCCGCTTGCAGAGGGTGCAGGTCCAGGGAGACGCATCAGACTGGTCCCCCTTTACAAGCGGAATCCCTCAAGGATCTGTCTTGGGTCCTACCTTGTTTATTATCTATGTTAACGACCTACCCGAATGTGTAACGAACTGCGTTCGGATGTTCGCCGATGACACCAAGATGTACTGCCGCGTTCCTACTGCGCTTTCCATGCCAACTCTTCAGCAGGACCTTGACGCCCTCCTTCGCTGGTCGGAAACGTGGCTCCTCCGCTTCAACGCAAGTAAATGCAAGATTATGCACATTGGGACCAGAAACCCTCGCATGCACTACAGCCTCGGAGACAGTGCCATCAGCGAGGCGACCGTAGAGAAGGACCTCGGCGTCATCATAGATCACCAACTCAAGTTTCATGAGCAGACAGCGGCTGCAGTGTCGAAGGCCTCTCAGGTGTTGTCGGTCATCAGGCGGTCATTTGCGAACCTGGACTCAAACACCCTCCCATTACTATTCAAGACACTGGTGAGACCGCTGTTGGAGTATGGGAACCTCGTATGGGGACCGTTTAGTAAGCTGGACCAGAAGAAGGTTGAGCGGGTGCAACGAAGAGCTACTCGCCTGGTACAAACTGTCCGACACCTGTCGTATCCAGAGAGGTTGCGCGCGCTGAAGCTCCCTTCGCTATACTACAGACGTCAACGGGGTGATATGATAGCCGTCTATCAGATTCTGCATGGTGGCATGGCGGTCCCCACCGAGAAGCTGCTCACCAGATCAACTTCAGGAAGAACAAGAGGCCATGAGTGGAAACTAGCGAAACCGCGGGCCACGACGTTCATCCGAAGACACTCTTTTAGTACACGTGTTATTAACCCATGGAATGCTCTCCCGCAAGCGGTCGTATCAGCTACGTCAGTCAACCAATTCAAGACCAGGCTGGATGCCCACTGGGCTGACACCATGCAAAGCCTTCCCACCTGAACCCGATCTTACCCAACCTGAGGCTGACTGTCGATAAGCACTGGGAGCTCGCTGAGACCGGGCCCCACAGGCCAAATTGGCCTCCCACAACCCGTATACCGTAAGGTAAGGTAAGGTATATTTTTTATTGACGATTATGGACAAGAACTAAACATCTTCAAAGTGTTGTTTTGATGTTTGTGGTGAATGATTGAAATTTGTATTGTACTAGGGGTAAACTGGCATTACTTTGTGTCTATATATGATCATTTGAATTTTGAGGTGCCTTGAGGTGCTATTGGTCAAAATTGCTAGTGAAAATCGTTAATTTTAAGAGATTTAAGGGATCTTCAGTGGCTGAGGCTCCGCACCGATATCGACGTCCTTTTGAAATAGTGACGTCCTTGCGGCTTCAATCACACTCTCCGAAAAATCAATTTCAGGACACTGTATAACCGTGCTATTGCCTTTGCACATGCGCCATGAACTAAAATTTGTTGTGTTGCAAAGCCATCCAGCTGAGATATTGCATCGTTACACTAAGATGTCCAAAAAGGGTATGCTATAAAACGGATGATATTTACCGTACCTTAGGACGGACTTGGACAATGTTGATAAAAAAACAAAATGTCCAAATGTCCCTCATGTAAACCAGCACGTGAAATCAAAATATCTTGTCCTATCTTTGCACGTGGCGACTTTCTTTTTGTATCATTCAAAAATGATCACCCGGTAGGTGTAATTACATGTAATCTAAGATCAAATGTGTGAGCGAGCGAAGTCCATCAGGAGTTGAATGCACCACGGGAATGAACCTAAAACACCAGAAACGTTCCGTTTCGCTGACAAGACGCCAGCTGGCCCTGAACGCATCAGCTGACAGCTGTCATTGTCCATGGACCGACCGACAAGGGGCTGGTAATGAGAGATGAAACGATAAGGGTTGATATCTCACCGCCGGGCTACATGGAAACAAAACCACGCTAACATACAGCAATAAAACGGGGCGCCGCTACCGAAAACTAATTACGTTCGGAAAACAAACATCCAAAGTATCAATGCACAACATATCATAAGAAAACACGTCACAACACTATGTAAAAACAGTCTCCATCAGTTTCACAAAGTTGGAGAGCCAGAGCTGCGATGGGGACCCAGGGTGGGATGCGGATCTACTAAGTGGGCCCCGGCCACCAATGTCACAACAAATAATGGGCACCAAAATGACTCGATTACAAAGGCCACAAATCGTAATCCTCTGAGCTCAACAACCTCAATATAAATACATTTGACATTTCATGGAGGATACAACCTCCACACGCTTACACTAGATGACAAATAAAGGGCTGGACTTTTGTTAACTCGTTGATAAGAACTTTATAACTTGCCTAAGATGATTATCTATCAAAGCTAGGTATTTTTAATTCTAAATTATTAATAATGCATCAGATCTCAGACACAAAATAATGACAAAATCTGATGTCACATTTGAGTAAATTGAGAGCCACTGATGGCCAATGGCCTTTCCATCATTACTTGTTGGAAGAAGGGTAACCACATAGGCATACACACTCAACATGCATTTGCAAAGAGGTACAAGCATTGAAGTCTAATGTCTTGGACACACTCAGACTCAGACACTAGCTCAGTCCAACACCACAATAAGAGTTTTTACTTTCAAGGAATATGTCACCAGGTTGTCAACTTGTCACTATATGACTTGCATGAGCATATTCATGCCAGTGCTGTAGGTACATGCATCCTTATGAAACTTATCCTAATTTTCTGCAATAATGATGCTGCAAACTGAATCAAGTTTGGTCAAATTCGATCGGATAGTAGGGGTCGGGGTCTACGCAACAAGCTCTGCTTAGCGTGGGCTCCGGCTCTGTCAATCCGTCCATTCAAACATTCGAGCTAAATTTATAAAAAAAAGTTGGTCCAACTTATTTTTTAAGCACTGGATAGGTAGGCACTATTTAAAAATTGGGAATGTGAAAGAAGGGGTAGGGATGTTTTTTACCTTGCTACTATAGAAGCAAGGTAGCGCCCAGCTCTGAGCTCACAATCTGATTTAGGGAGATAAGCAACAAAATATCAGACTGAAAGTAGTGACATGAGAGGTGTATCAATGTGTGAGAAACAGGTCTTCAGAATCTGCACAACAACACAACTTCTGAGGGCAGGAAACATGTGACTCGTGAACTGTCACTTGGATTGTAAAAATGTATGCACATACCGGACGACAGTGAAAACAGGGCGCCGGAGGGCATATTAGTCACGAGACATTTGGAACTGCTCCCGCTCCAAGGGCCTTCTATATGCCAAACGTCACGTGTAAATTTCACAAACCTTGATCAAATCGCCCCAGGCGCCCTGTTTTCACCGTCATCCCACATACCTCTGCAGGATTAGCCATGGTTGGGATGAATGAAGATCAGATGATCTGGATGTCACAATCCCTTCAGTCTCTCAGCACCAGCAGATCAAGACCTGGAAAACAGATATCAATATACAATTAGTGGCAGAGTCGTAGGGGTACCTAGTTATTGTCTACCAATTGATTCCAGCTTGGTGATTTCACCTCAAATATAAGTCAGTGGCATTGTTACGATCAACAAGCTCTGGGCTTATGCTGAACAATTAAAAACAGTACAGAGGGCTGTTCACGGGCCCTGTGTGCGGTCGGACCGCACACAGCCTCCAAGCTCCGCCCACTGCGTCCCTACGTCAGCCTTCCGTCACCGCACACAGCGACCGCTGTGGCCGGTCGGGACTGGCCACAGCGGACCGTCCACCGCACGCAGCCGTGACGTCAGGACCGCCTACCCATCCCCTACCCGCACGGCTGCTGGACGCACCGCACACACCGCACGCAGCAGTGTGCGGTGCCCGTGAACACCCCTCAGATGTTAACCCCAGCAATATTGACGCCAGGGTTACCGATACCAGCAACATTGCTTCGAGATTTGTCTCAACCTAGCATGATTCCAATACCACACCCTGATTTTAGGTCGAGAGCTTACCTGCCGGTGAAGAGCGGTATTTCAAATATTCCTCAAAGTGCTGTAATTGTTAAGCAAATGTAAATATGCATTGATTACGTTCACCGTGTCTAAGTTAATTTATTACAGAAAGAGGGCAGCGAGCGGAGTCCTCCTCTGTTTACGTTCGCGTCACGAGAGGGCTCTCTCTATCGTCTGGATAAAAATAGGCCCCGCCCATCCCAATCAGCTGCTGTATGACGAGTTGATGACGACAACCACTACTTACCAGCAACCAATCTAGGGATAGCGTACGTGACAGTAATGGTGCAGCGGTTGCAAAATATTACATTGTTATTCAAACGGTTTTTGCTTTTAGGGCCTTGTTGTTTAACCCATCTGTGTTTTATTGTATTGAGATATGTGATTAGTAGATGAGGTGTTGATGAGGGCAGGTATTTTTTTAAAATATTTTTTTTGACAATTTTTTGCCCTTCTTCTACTTAATAGCTGAACCCGGGGCCACATGAAGTCTAAACCTTATTTACATAACATGTCAATGCTGATGCTGTCTTGAAATGTGAAATTTAGACAATGGTAATAGGAATAATGAATAGCAATTTCACCAACAACTTGTTAATCTCTAGGAAGTGCAATTAAAATTAAAATCACTGTCTGCCACACTGCTTCGATCCTGGTCATGCAACCAACATTCATGGGTGGTGTTTCACGGCAGAGCACTGCAGTGCGCTGCGTGTGTCAGAGCATTGGGTTTCCATGGCAGTGTCAACAAACTTCACTGTGACGCTAAGCTATGACAGCATCCCAGAACGCTAGCATGCTGCGGTACCAGCACCAGCAGCATGCTAGCAGTATTTGAACTCAAACCTCTGTTTTTGGTACAGTTTTTCAGAACCTCTCACTCTGTTCCAAACGCGATTCATCATAAACTAAGAGATCACATGCAACGTCATTTGAGTGATGCTATGGTATGCCGTAGCTACCAGTGCACACAGTGTCTGGATGGTGAAACAGGGCCATTATTAATCACATTTGCTTTGCTTTGTTTCAGCAGAAACCTGTCTGCACATGGGAGGAGTGCAACAAAGGCCCATCAAGTTCATGCATGGCAGTGGATCTCAACAGGAGAAAACCAGAAAGAACATGGATGCTTGTAGATTGCAGTTGTACACTGCTGTTATCACCTGATATGCGTGGCTGGCATTGCTCCTGGCAAGAACCACCTGCAAGTGATGAGATGGTGCCTCAGTCGTTAAGTGTGCTGCAGTGTGAGAGGCGCCCTGATCTCTACTTTGTGATGGGTTTCCATTGGAGGTTCAACTGAGAAGTGAGAACTGACTGTGACCATGCTTGAGCATGCCAGTGGAGCTTTACATGCTTAGGGAAGCTTTTGAACAGATGCTGACCATGGCATGTCCCATCCAGTTATCACGTGCACAGAATGGTGGGGGAGGGCAACTCTGGGCTCTTGAGTCAGCCCTACTGCACATGGGGTACAGATGGCCGCTTACGTTTGGTGTGTCCTGCACTGCATTATCAAGCCCAGTCTGCTGCCACAGGCAATGGGTCGGGCTGCACTATATTAAAGGCAGACTATCTTGTAAAGGAGGCTGGCATCCTCTCCCATAATGACACACCAATTGGCAATCATCGCTGCGATGATCACGAGGGTGTCCGCTTATCTAACATGGTGAGGTGGAGAGCCAGCTCAAGCTGGCCTGAGGGATGGTTTTACTTCATCTGAGGCCCCCTTTCCCCGCCTGCCAGGTCCGGTCAAACGACCGCTTCACAGTGAACGACTTGCAGTGGATGCCGTCCCACAGCGCAACGAGCGCGCCGACCAGAGGCGGCGGCCAAGAGGCGGCCGCGCTCCCCCAGTCGACGGTCCCGGTGGACGTCGGCAACGCCCACCGTGCGACCATCAGATCGGCTCGCGACCGCGCCGTCGCCGACTGACCGCATGACTGGTATCTGTTCTTGATGTGGGACCGACTGCCACCGCCGGTCGCGGAAGGGCATCGCTCATCGGCCATCGACGTCCACCAGCTTCGCGTGGGTCACTGTTCGGGCTGCCACCAATACACCGAATCGGATGGAACCCTGTCGGCGAATGCCGGCGGTGCCCCGACATCGACTGCGCGGCGGCCAGTGCATCGCGTGCCGGGAGGAGGCTGGTACCCCCGATCGGTCATTGGTCACAAACCGTGTCCCAGCTCATGACTGCATCCAGCGCAGCTCTGTGAGATGTTCTGCTGCAGTCTGCCGCGTGTGTTGAAAGAAGAATGAACATGAGAAAACCTCAAAACTTTATGCCTATTAGTATTTGACCAGTATTGGAATAAGTTTGGATTTTGAGAATTTGTGTCCCTGTGCTTGTGCCTGTGTGGAAAGGAATGCTTTACGGTGTACCATCTCAATTTGTGCGGCTGCTGACAGGCCACCTGGGTGCCAACGTATGTGCGAATCCGCGAATACGTTGTGTTTCGTCAGTCGGTATCGTTCTGAAAATATTGACTGCAATAGGCTATATAGCGTATGACGGTTCAGCCCAGCAGTAATAACTGACCATTGATTGGGCGAATTTTGTGTGGTGGTTCGCTAATACATAACCTAAAGAGTGTTTTGCCGGAATCGTTTAGTAGCAGAACTGACCGGAATATAAGTAGAATGCAACGGTTTGAATCGTTAATTTGTTGAAACGATTGTTCTCTGAGACCACTGTGTAACTTTTGACCTGAGAATCACCAATTATAACGACAACGGTGGAAGCAGTAGGCACTGTAGAGTGTAGGCAACACTATATAGTTGGCACACTTACGCAAGCACACGACTTACGCAGTGGACATCTGCATCATGCATGTTAAGGTTTACTGGGAAGAGTGAGAAATAAGTCAGAATATAACTGACTAAGGAAAATAGGCGATATTTCCAATTGAGCTGGGGCGGAGAGGGGGAGGGGACGTATGGTCAGCTTTGCCAATAATTCATTCTCGTTATGCAGCTGTGTAAAAGGGCGTCCGTTTTTTGGGGTGAGACCTTCCCCATTGGCCATTTCCAAGCTAAATCGTGGTGGATAGTCTGGAGACCTCAGCCTCGGTAGTCGGTACCCTGCGCGCTGCGCCACCTTGCGAAACATAAAGCAGCGGTCCTGTCATCTGCAGGCGTTACTTTTCATGAAAACGCGGATGCGTTCGCGCTTATGCGAAGAAAATTCTTCCGAGTATGGTTGATAATGAGATTAATTGTTGTCATTTATTTATTAATTCATTGGCAAAAGTACCCTAATAAATCGGTAAAGTAGCTTAAACTGTATCGTATTTCCTTGAGAAAAAAATGACGAACTCATCCTAAGACATCCAGATTATTGGATGCGTTCGTCAGTTGTAATAGTTCAAGTTTTTGGAAAAATTTGCTTGTGGAAAACCATAATATTTCAAAGATATGCCTATTTTCGAATAATTTATGCATTTATCTGCATTGACAAATGATTGTAAAGCAAAAGTGTAAAAGATTATTTCAATTTATTTTCTCAAATCACGATTTACGAACGCACAAAACTCCAGCTTTTTATTTAGTGCGTGTGCGAATTGCGGTCAAGAAAAAAGATTTAAACTGTCTATATTCCTCATAAAACAATGAAGGATGAATGCGGAAAACGCTCTTTTGAACAATTGTATATTTATTTTTTCTCAATTAAGCAAAAGTACAAAATTTTCAACTATTATTACATTTGCTCTCACAAAACCCATCACTTTTAAGCATGACGTCATGTCAGCCAAATTTACTAGCGCCATCTCTGGAGAGCATCTTTCGAAACCTCCAGACGATAGAGAGAGCCCACGAGAGGATGGGGCGCTTTCCCAAACACCAACGATTGGTAATAAATGACTTATGTGAAACAGAACAAAATTTGCTTAAGAATGACGTCTTTTTTGATTTTTGAAAAGATAGTTTGCAATGAAATCGCTTATCATTTGTCAAATTAATTTGAAAAATAGTTGGATATATATAAAACTCAGCACCTTTTTATATGCTAATATTATGTTCAACTTTTACGACAAAAAAGTATTATACGTAAGAAAAAAAAAATTACACATCAACTGAGCAGTTGGCGCACCAAAGACAACCACTGTTCAAAGCATTTACAAGACTGCTCGATGTCGCTTACTACGGCCATTTAGACAAATCATAGATGAGATAGGAGACGAAGTCAGGCAATCACACCAATAGAAAACGATTCGAAGCAAAGCCTTGAACACCTTGTTTTGACTTGGAGGCTTTCTTGACTTTCTTCTTGCTGCATGTTGAAAATATTTTCTCTGCACATTTCAGCTTATAATTTATATTGATAAACTTATTTTATTTCTGGCAGCCTGGTCACAGAGGGTCAGTCCTCGTTGCGTGTGAGCTACCATTACAGTGCACAAATTGATTTTTTATTACTTTCAATATCTGTTTCAAGTCAAACGCTTCAACGTTTTACACCTAAGTTATTTTAACAATTTCAATTAAATAGATAGGTGCGTGGTGATTTTTTCCTTTTGCTTCCTTTGAAAACTGAATAAATTCACAAAAAACATGAATTAAAAGAATTCATCCAAGGTAAAAAAGTGAGACCACACAATCAATACTTACTATACCTACTTTGGTTTGGTGTGTGACAATAGATAGGTTGTGGTTTTTGTCTAATTTTGAGCCTATGGTGCAAAAGAGGGATTTCACCAGGTACCTATGTGGGAATGAAATGTGGGAATGAAATGCATGGGCGCCCATGCCAATGTCCAAGTGGAGCTCATTTCTTGCATCCTCATTCCAGCTATCTGAATACGAATAGAATGGGCAGCTCTGGGATGGGGGACCTGGGTCGGTCAATGCAGATAATAAATCATCAAAATTTATACCTATTGGTAGGTGTGCCTGTTAATACTAGACCTGATCCACCTCACCTGTGACCTGACTAGCTCAAGGCGAGCAACAGATTAAGACAGCTGTCTTGAACTGGCGGTGCATGCTCCTGCCAATCATTCGACCTAGCACTCTAGCTGATGTACTCAGATATATAATATCATGAGATTTAAATATTTGTATATCATTTCATATGATGTTGAGGATTTTGAGCATGGAAGCAACTCAGCTGTGGGCTGCTACCACTGTGGCCTCAGTTGTCTGATGTTCTAACTTGTGAGCAAAGTGATGGAAAGTCTAAAACATGTACCTAGGTATCTACCTAGGCTCTGTTACACAGTGCAAGCTGCAAGCATGATTTTCCCCTAGTTAGTCATGTGGAATTTAAGTAGGTTCAACACTAGTGACACTGATCTCATGGCCTAGATATCTAGTATTAGATAGGTAGGTAGTGTTCCTTTGTTCCTATCTACTTTAGGCTTCTTTGCTCTGTGTGACTCATTTTGCACTTTATGCAAAATAATGCACTTGCACTTATTTTGGACTTAGGGCATGTGTATCTGAAAGCCTGAATGGGTAATAATGTATAATACCTAACATGTTAAGCATATGTAGAATGGCAAATGAAATATTGGTCTATTTAAAGTTTTATTTAGTGCTGAAGCTCATGACAACAGTTTTGTCTTGATGCTTCGAGATGCAGTCTGGCACAACTGCATGTCTTGTTTTTTATGATGAACAGGCTACTGACTACATGGTACCCTCTGCTCATCAGGAATTACATCAGGTTCACCACCTCAGGTTCACCACCTACCATACCTGATGAATACAATCTTATTTTATACACCATGAAGATTACAGTGCAGTCGCTACTTACTTGTCATCATCTCATCAAGATTTAGCAGCACTCAGCGTCCTGTACATAGTATTTGCTGCTCCACAGGGCCAGCGCGAGCACCCGACACCCCTCGAAGCGGCGCGTGGCGCACAGCCCTCTGCGCCATGGAGTTCTCCGCGCCGCTGCGCTGTGGCCTCACGGCAGTCTCGCCGGACGGCGCCTACATGGCCGTGACTCTGGGCGTGCGTGTGGCAGTGTTCAGTGTACCGGCCCAGCAGGAGGTGGCCGCCTTCACCTGCCTGGACGACCCCCAGCTGGTGGAGTGGTCGCCCGACAGCAGCCTCCTGCTGACCGCCGTGCTGCCGCGGCGCGCCGTCCAGCTCTGGAGCATCGAACAGCCCGAGTGGCGAGCACGTATCGATGAGACGGAGGTGGGCCTGGTGTCAGCGCGGTGGGCGCCCGGCTCGCGGCACGTGCTAACTACTGCGGCGCTCAGTCTGCGGGTCACGGTCTGGTCACTGGTCGACCGACAGGTCAGCTACATCAAGTACATGAAGGATATCTCGGACGGGTTGACGTTCAGCCCGGACGGCAGGTGTATGGCGGTGGTGGAGAGGCGAGGCTGCGTGGACCACGTCAGTCTGTTTGCTACCTCCGGCTGGGAGCTGATCAAACACATTGACTCGGTGGGCCAGGACGTGGCGGGACTCTCGTGGAGTCCGGACTCTGAGCTGTTCGCTCTCTGGGATGGTCTACTCCAGTCCCGTGTCGCGGTGTATGACCTCACCGGACGGCGCCTGGCTGAGGTGAAGCTTCCAGGGTCACCGCTAGGCATCAGCACCGTGCACTGGAGCCCCAGTGGTCAACTGTTGGCTGCCACCGGGTTCGACGACAAGGTGCACGTGATCAGTGACGCTACATGGCATCGACTCACCAGCCTGGTGCACGGTAGCACGGTGCGTGCTGGAGATACAGTGCACGTATACCGGGAGCGGCACACACGACTGGAAGGGTTCCGACTAGATCTGGCTTTAGCCTCCGGCTCTGACGGTATCACGGACGTCTCCTACGAGCTGGACTCGCGCCGGCCGGTCGTTCTCCGCCCGCCGGCCGTGCAGGCTCCGCGTGCCGCCACCGGCCACGCCGCCGTTAGTCGAGTACTGTTCTCACCCGACAACCGATATGTGGCCACACGATGCGACGCCGTCCCGGAGTGTGTATGGATCTGGGCGACGGCCACCCTCTCACTACACACACTACTGGTGCAGCGAGCCGCGATCAGAGACCTCATCTGGTCACCGAGCGGCAGCCGGCTGGCGCTCTGCACCGGCGGACGGTACCTGTTCCTCTGGAGTCCGGAGCAGAGCAGCACCTGCCGCGCGCCGGCCGATGTGGCTGTGACTCAGCTCCTCTGGCCGGACGAGTGTACGCTGCTGCTGCAGGCGAGGGATTCGCTGCTCTTCTGTCGACTGGATGTGACGACGGAGAGCCAGCTGGAGCCACCCGATTCGTTTCAGGAGTCTCAATGGGAGCGAGTGGCGGAACAGGCGTGAAAGGGTCGCTGCTGTGCCACCCAGCAGGCTGGATCGTTTAACGCGAGAAAGTGAGAAAAGTTACAGACATTCCCAGCTGTTGAACTGTGCCTGATCTGCCAACTGAATGTGATACAGAGTGATACTGGAAGCCCGAGCGATGCACAGTGAAAGTGATGACCGGCGGCTGTCAAGCGAAGCTGCGAAATTGTCGAATCGAAAATGCTTTGTGTGTACTTACCTCGATATGATCTCTGGTCTTTCACTGTCTCTGTCGTACCTGCTCAAGCCGCTGAAGTGCTTCCGTAATGCCACTTGTGCGTCTGTGCCTACTTTATAAAACATGAGTTATTGATTCCTCAGTTCAACGCTTGTCGAGTATGGTATCTGATCTTGGCAATCGTTGGTGTTAGCGTTCTTGGATTTGTTGCGGCCTGTTACCAGGAATTGGAGCTATTTCGCTGTACAAAAACAAAGGTGTGAGACCGTATGCTGTGTGTCGTTGAACTGATTCAATGGCAATCCATGACAGTGATGTCACGGTGCGTGGGTCGACATTGTGGGTCAATGATCTTCTCGGCATTGTTCGAAGTATTCTTAAGTGAGGTTTTGAGAAATAAATGTTGAAGGAATAAACCTTCCTTCTGTATCCACTTAATTATTAATCAAATTAGTCGAATGGAAGCGCCGATTGAGTGCGAAGCAGCAGATCGAAGTTCTGGGGAGTATGGAGGGGAGGGGCTGCTGGTCCCAGTTTAAAACAAAGTCAGACTCAGGCTGATAGCTGCCTTCAGTTGTTACCGTATAAATGTTGTAAAGAAATCTGAGCTCTCAGCATATTTTCGTCACGCACACTTCTTCGCAGAAAAAAAACCCTGTGATGACAGTACCAAGACCAGAACACTGCAAATAACACTTTTTTTTCGCGAAAAACACTTTTCGCCGCCAAAACGCATGACCTGCTACGGAAATTCCAGAAAACTCTATTGAATATACCACTGGACGTTAATCGTGCCCGTTCTGATTTCAGATCTCTGAAGATGCCTGTTGATATTCTCGCCTACGGCTATGCCGCCACGGTGGCTGCAGGCGGTATCATGGGGTACGCCAAGGCAGGTAAGAAAGACAGCTCAACATCAATTTACACAGTACTCCTATGGTTAAATATGCGGGTATGTAGCGTAGTTATCTGACCATCGCCGCTGTATGTTTCTTACATTTATATTATGACGCCTCTGAGGTCCACGCGGAAGGCTATGTGAGGCTGCTCGGCACCGCTCTGAACGGCTCTGGTCTCCCCTCCCCCTGGGGAAGTTCCATAATGTCGCTCTGTTTAAATCTGACCCGTCGCTTACCCTCCCTCTCCCCCACAGGCTCGATTATGTCCCTGGGCGCCGGTCTGCTGTTCGGCGGCGCCCTCGGGTACGGCGCCCACCAGGTGTCCCAGGACCCGCAGCAGTACCAGGTACAGCTCGGTACCAGCGCAGTGCTCAGCGGACTCATGGGCTACCGCTTCGTCAGCGGCGGCAAGTTCATGCCGGCAGGACTCATCGCCAGCATCAGGTCGGTGGGAGCGCAGGGGAGATGCGATGATGGCTTTGGAGGGATGTACCTAGATGGATCGGTGCCTTGTGCTATGTCTTATTTCGACTCGGATTGAACATTCTGGAATGCCTCTTATCTGTCTTCATCTTTGCTCTTTCAGATTGCCACGTTATCTTAGGGTCTAACTGTCTTGCACTATGTAGTTCCCCTTATGTCCCTACTCACTGCTCATCAAGCTTGCACACAGGTTTGCGAAAACAAACCGTCTGAGTCATGCCCGTGCTCTGAGGTATTATAACTACAACCTCCAATCTAGCAAAGTTCGCTTGGCTGCCCTGTGACCCTTTCTTTTTGTCCCGACAGTCTCGTGTTCCTGGCTCGCTACGGGGTCCGTGCCATGCAGAGCACTAAACAACAGTGAACGGATGACTGAGAAGCGACTGAGCCGGTGTCCTGAGGTATGACCGGGTCAGTGATCTGAGGGAGAAGGGTGTGATCGGACCGGTGTCTTGCGGTATGACCGTTCATTGACCTGGGGTGTGACCCGTCCACCAAACAAGAGTCATTTGGGTTATGTGGTTGACCAAGAACGAGCGATCATACCTAGAGTAAGATGTTGGTCGCGGCTTATGCCAGCTATCGTTTTGTGTGGGGGATTTTCAACTGTAGTATTAGTATGGGCTGGAGTTTGGATTCGATAAAGAGATGGACCAGTTGAGTGATTTTGTTTCATTGCGGATTTCTCATGGTTTCTGAGTAAGGCATGCTTCGAACGCTATGATATTGTCTTTCTGTGGTGGGTGGTGTGTTCCCTGAGGGCTGTCCCGAGCGCGATTTGTGAGACTTTGATACAGGAAACGCACGTCTAGTTGCTGACATTGTCGAAGAACGATGTACTTTGATAAATGCAATATATGTAGTAACATTACCATATCGGTAGTTGGCGCTAAGTGCTAATTATTCTGCATATCATATGCTCTCCACTGGGGGCAAGAAAGCGCTGCAGAACTTCGGCCGGTTTTCTGGAAAGTGACACGGTTAGGAAATTATGAACATTTATTGATATGATAAAAAACTAAAACGACTAGCATGAGGGAGGAGAAATAACATACAATTGATATGTTCGTAAAATCATAAACTAAGACAAGCTTTTTATCGCTGACAAAAATCACAAAAACAGAAAATTCATATCTACATGCCCTTCACAATTATATTTTATTTCACAGACAATCATTGCACGGATCCCGGTAGATTGAAACCGAATGCACTACAGATGTGACCTTAGTCGCTCTGTACTTGTCCCCAGCGCCATCTCAGCCCATCGGACAAAAGTGAACTAATGTTTTCATTTGCCGACACTCCTCCACGCTCAAAATCCAATCACTGTCTTCATGATTCACGACTGAAACAGCCCCCCACCCCCACCCCCCACCCACACCTTTTGATCGAGCACACGAAATGAAATAGCTCTGGGCTATCTTCTGTCATCGTGACATTTTTCTCATGATTCTCGGTCCCAGTTTTATGAGCGATGACACCAGCGGTCTTCATCACAGCTATGATTCATTCAGCTCGCTGTAAAGCCAAGCGGGCAGCTCGAGATTCGGTGAAATCGCCCGCTACGCAGATAGCTCCTGAAAGGATTCTTTTACGAGGCCATTCGCTGCATTGCTGAGCTCGACTTAACGTCGACAGATCGAGAGAACGTTTGGAAGGGAACGATTTCGAGATGCCTGAATCTTAAGAATCCACGAGCGGCCCAAATGTGTTGCAATTTTTCGTCTAAAAGAGCTCGTGATTATCTGAGCTAAGCTTCTTGATGGGTCTTTCTAATGAGTTTCGCTCTCTGCAGCTGATACGAGGCATCTAACGACCTGAATCAAACGATCAGCAGCACCGATTCGGAAAACAAAACAACATCGCCCGCCCACCCGCACACCCCCTTCCCTCCACCAACACAGCTTGAGCTGATCCATTGGTTCCTTTGGCACAATTCTCACGAAAAACACGACTCACGTCTGACTGACTCACATCACGCGTCTCGCTCTGCCTCTGTCCGACTCAGACGTGACTGAGTGGCGCCGTCACCTGACTGGCGGCCGCGGTGGGTTCACTCAGTGTCTGAAAAGTAGTCTCTGACCTGGCCAGGCTGGCTCCGGCCCCCAGCTGATGCTGCGTCGGCTCCCCTCCTGCCTTACTAGGCTCCGAGCGGCCGAATGAGCCCGGCGGCGGCGGTAGGGGTGGCGGTGCGCGGTCGGCCCCGCCGTCTTGTCCCCCGGATGGTCTCTGACAGCGCAGCAGCGCCTGCCAAGAACGGAGGGTTTTCCTGGAGCAGACCCAGCCGACTGACGTGACTCCGACTGCGAGTGACATGATGAACCGCAGTAGGAGCAGTTCGTAGCTGGGTATGTCCTCATACCCCGTGCTCTCATCAGCACCAGGACTGGATTTTTCAGCGGCGGCGGCGATGGCAGCAGCAGCCGCGGCGGCAGTGAGGGCGGTACCGGGGACGGGGACGGCGGTGGGGACGACGGGCGCCTTCCGACAGGGACAGACGAGCGCACTCTCCCAGTCGGAGCGTCGGTACTGCTCGTAGACGAGGGAAGCGATCACGAGCGCTGCGGGTACTGTGTACAACACTGAGAACACTCCAATACGCATCATCAGCCGCTCCAGCCGATCCTGTGCGCCGCGATGCTGTTTAAGAACACCCCTCACCCGGCACAGCGCCACGAAGCCGGCCAGCAGGAACGACATACCCAGCAGAAGACCAGCGGCCAGCGGCGCCAGCACGAACCAGCGCTGATGCGCCAGGCTGTGACCTCCCACATAACACACTCCTGTCAGAGGGTCCCCGTCCACAGCGTCCGAGGCCAGAGCGGCGATCGCCAGCGCCGCCGGCGGCACCCAGCCGGCAAGGTGAAAATATGGAGAGTATCCGGCAATCACCTCATTCCCCCACTTGAGTCCGGCGGCCAGGAACCATGTGAGAGCCAGAACCACCCACCACGCGGCGCTGGCCATGCCGAAGAAGTAGATCAACACGAATACGGCCGTGCAGAGTACTGACGAGCCGAGTTCGCCACCGGCATCCTGACGAAGCAGACCTTCCTGACAGGCGGTCATCTCCCTTCCGGCGAAGGCTCGCACGAGATATCCCACAGCCACCAGAAGATAACACCCAGCCATGAAAACCACTGGTCTCTGCGGGTATGGGAATCGACCACGCTCCAGCAGAAACGTCCCCACTGTCAGTAGTGAGCTGAGCGCACACAGACTAGCCCAGACTTGCAGCCAGCGCTCGGTCAGTTGATGTTGTTCGTCAGTGAACAGCGCCGGTTGGCAGGGGAGGGCGCAGTGGGGCACACCTCCAACCGCTACTGAGCGGTTGTAGAGCCGGTGATTGGGGGAGATTGACACGACGCGCGGCGGCCGGCAGCGGCAGGCACATCGCTCCTGCTCCGGCGGTCCGGGAAGCTCGCCGTTGCGGTTATCCATACAGAGTCGGTCCGTGTCCCCGTACCGTGGCAGACGATCGCAGTGGAGACGATCCGGCCAGCTCATCCGCACACCCCGCATCAGAGGCTCACAGCCGGCGCGGGCGCGGAGGCAGAGCTCGCGACACACGGGCAGCGTCCGTCCCAGGCCCGGCAGGCAGATCGGCACGTAGGTGGCGCACAGGAAGAACTGCAGGTCGCGCGAGCAGCCGACGCCGACCAGCGGCCAGTACTGGTGTACTTCCAGCCCGGCCTCCTCCTGTGTGTCGTGGTGGAACTGGTTCGGCATCAGCGTGACGTTGTAGCCGATGTTGCGGCACATGGCGATGCTGATCTCCTGACACTGGAACTCGGGAGATTGGCCGAGCAGCGGCGACGGCAGGATCAGCAAAAGCAACAGCGAGAGGAAGAGCTGGGGTGAAGCGGGAAACGCCGTCTTCTGCATCTTGTATGCCAGTTTATGTGACGGACCTTGCGCGGTAACCAATCGGTCAGCGGTTGGTGAGACTACCAAGCAAAGTCACACATCTGAAACACAAAGGAATAGGTGAACTCTCTGTTGCCTGCTGGTATGCTCGTCTTTCGTGTATCAAAATGAGTGATATAGAGTAATTTACCCCCCCCCCCCAGAAATGAAATATGAATGTCTACCATACAGTCGCCTTGTTTCGTCGCCTTTCCCGTCCGAACACCCTAACTTTACCCTCCCTGCGCCACACCCTTCGTTCCAGACTGGTCAAAACTTAAAAACACCGTGCGCTCAGTGCAGCGTTCGGCTCCCTCCCCGTGCCGGGTGGAATAAATGGGATGCCCATTAATCTGTCTCGGGACCACACCCTATCAGGGGGGAGGGGACGGCTCACCAGACTGTCTGGCTGCGCAGTTTCAGACGGGCAAAGCACGCTCCCCACCTCCCTCCTCCCGGGGGGGGGGGGGGGGGCGATCGAACCTCATCACCACAGTCGGGCAGTGAATCTGCGGGTCTGTCAGCTCAGCCGGGGTGCCGAGCGGCTCCGGACGACTTCAGACGGCCGCCAGTCCAGTAACGGACGGCCGACTGCGTGATATGCCAGCTTCCGGACGAGCCAACTCGGCTCGTGACATTTCGGCCGGCTCAAATTCGATGAATTCAGTTGTCACCGAGTCGGTGCTTCGGCCAGTTCCAGCTACAAAGTAATTGGATTGGGTGGTATAAATTCAGGGAAAACGAAAAATAGAACTTGCTCGCAGAATTTAGAGGACGACGACGTTGTATTTTGTAAGTCTCATTACATGCTTGATTTAATACGATTAGCGGCTTGCTAATGTTTCGCAACTATGCAATCCTTCTATTTTAGTTTTCTGTTGTAATTATTTAATGAATGACTATGGTGTGAGAGCCTCTCCAGCTAGGTCCCGGTCTTACCTTTGGTAGCTTTGTGCGCTACGTAAATGCTGCTGGACTGAATATTTTGTATATTCATCGGACATCGATGGCACTGTGATGCAGTGATTTCAAATAAATATGAATACCGATAGCTCTCCAGGCGTCAGTCCTTCTTCCCAGTCACTAGGTGATACTTTTCTGCTCAATATTAATGTCCCCATGGTCACGCTTCTCTGTCCGTCAAATAAAACAGTTACGATGCCGACAACACACCTACGCTGCTCAATCGTACGGGAAGTACCGTTAGATCCGTGCTCGCGTTTGTCCTTTCACTAGCAGCCGGGTTACTCATTAGAGTCACGACGACCTATGACCTCACGAAAGACACGCCGCTCGTGACGGTGTGATGTCGTGACGCCGTCACGGTCAGATCGGGCGTGACGCGGCCTTGGAGGAAGGACCGGGGTAGGTTTGCGTTCAGGATCGCACTCTCACTTACACTCGAAGGATACGAGCCGCACGACTCTCCCTAACACATAACTCCTTTTGTAACCGACCCATCGGTTCGCCCCTCTCTATTGTCCAACTCTACCACTCGCCCATCTCACCTGCCTTTGTGCGTCGCGCCGGCCGCGCGGCGACCCGAATCAATGCAAACTGCCGTCCGGACGGCTGACTTTTCCCGACTGAAGCTGGCGGAGGGCACACTGCAGGCCACGCGGCCCAGCCCGTCACCATGGCAACCTCTCCGGCTGAGCAATCGATACACTTCACACGCGCGCTGCCCCCCGGCTGATCTCCCGCCAGGGGGGGGGGGGACTGGGGATATTAGCGCGGCTTATGGCTGCGGTGGGACACTCGGGGAGGGGTGGGGGCTGAGTGGGATATGGTGGGGGAGGGGTTTAGGACGGTTTGGGAATGGAAGGGGTAGGTGACAATGGGAAGGTGTGAACCCGCTTGGGTTAGGTGTCTAGGTATCTTATATTTAGCACATATTTAGGTACAGAATGGATAGGTATTCAATTAGACAATGCCGCAGGTGGGTCCATTTCCAGCATTGGTCACGTTTAAACCGCAACTTATCGCATATGGTATCCGTACGAAACGCCAGAGCTCACTTTAAGTGTCATCTACTGCTGTCATTTACGCGAACGTTTTCGCTGCGAAGTACAGCGGTACAGTCTAACTTCAGGCGCTTACTGCTCCTGCCATCTAGCGGCAACGCTATCAACTTTGAGCCATGCGGCACAGCCTACCTGCAGGCGTCCTTGCTCCTGCCATCTAGCGACAATGTTATCAACGTTAAGTCATGCGGCACAGCCTACCTGCAGGCGTCCTAGCTTCTGCCATCTAGCGGCGGTATTTTCAACGTAGAGTCCTGCGGCTCAGCCTGGATTCAGGCGTTCGGATGCCACTGCCATCTAGCGACGAGGAAGGGATTTCTGCGCTTCCAAGCCCCACTTTATGGGATGGACCACTGCGTAATTTCGAATGCGTGCCGATACAGCTCTCCAGCGGCTGATTTTACGAAGGGTTGTGAGCAATTTACATCGAGGCGCATTTTACGATCGATCTACATACAGTTTCAACATGCCGTCCATACCCCATAAGCATTCCCCTAGGACATCGGTGTAAAATAGAAGCGCTCACTGCCGTTGGAACTGAGCACGTCACACGAGATATCACATTTGGTTTCCTATTTCCGCTACTGCAAACACATAACTGAACACGACTGCTATTTAAATGTCAGCCCATTAAAATGCTTATGTGGCATGACAGGGGATCGTGTTTAATTTAACTCAGCTTCACTATTTGCCGGAAACAGTGGTTCATTTTAAATGGCAGGGAGATAAGAATTCTAGGAGAGAAAGAGCTGGATAATAATTTGACCTATGCGGTTGCATGGTCTCTATGATTCGGCAACGAAATGGAATAGGAAGAGCAATGTCAGGAAATAGATTGGTGACACCGCATGTAAGATAAACCTGAAATATTCCATGGATTACATCAACCATAAAGCATCAAGCGTGACACTTTTTAATCACACAAATAAAATTCCCTTTTTGGTGTGTGCTATTCGCACAAAAATGCACAGAAGCCAACAGTTCGTCAGTTATTAAAATATATTTCGTCCAGTGGCTATTCACAAGTTGTAAACATTGTAAATCAAAATCACCGGCAAATTTACGCAGCGAAGTAACATAAATTCCTATTTACAGATATTATATATCGATCATATCCAGCAGAAATATAAGACACAACAAAGAAAAGACACGATAAAGCAGCGCCCATTCTGACACCGATTCACTAAAGAATCTTCCTCAACAAGGAACCTCACCGGATCACACACATCATGTTAAGTAGAGACACCAGTACTTCAGTGCCGGTCAAAGATATGACGCCGATATTGCATAGGGTAACAAGGCTCACACCGCGACTTCTAGCACTGAACAGTGAGATCCTCAAGACCAAAGGCACCGGGGGACACACGCAGATACAAAACTGCCGGGCGTCGTTCAAAAGCGGAAGCCTGATCCCTGAATCACTGTAACGCGCGGAGGGAGTTCCAAAGAGCGGTGGCTAGTTAAAGCGACCGTAGGCGGTCTCAGGAAGTCCCATGAAATCCGTCCGACTCTCGGGCAGTTCCAGTCCGACTCACGGGGTGAGCTGCGGTCTACTCACTACGGTAGACCCCAGACACGACTGATTCCGTCCGCGTATATACTCAGAGGGAGTCGGCATTGTCACTGCCTCGGTGGCGACTGCAGGCTGGTTGTGACACCACCAGTCTCATCACATCGCCTCAGCCGCGCTCGATCGCCTCTAGTGACGGTCCAACCTCCACCACCGGTCTTCACAGCTCATCTAGCTCATCCCCAGCTCTCCAGCTCAGCTCCCCAGCTCAGCTCAGCTCAGCTCCTGGGCGACCTTTCGGTCCCAGAAGGCGGCTCGGGAGGCGACCAGCCGCAGGCCAGGGGCCATTTCCAGCTCACCCTCCTCCTCTGATTCCTGCTGGCGCTCCTGGATGCCGCAGTCGGCGACCGGACGGCGGCCAGACAGTAGACCTGGGTCGCGGATGTTGCCTGTGTTGAGGGAGATGGGAGCGCCGAGTTTCAGGCCCTCGCGGAACTCACGGGATACGCTCCGAGCAGTCAGACTGTGCACCTGGGAATAAAGAGGCGGGGAGGGGGAGAGGTCAGTTAACGGTGGGGACGGTCAGTGTTGGCACACGTCACGAGGGAGACGGGCAGACTATGGTAGATAAAAGCTGACGTCCTGTGTGGGCAAACATCCACAAGGGGAGACAGGCATACTACGAGGAGAGGCAGAATGGTTTTACACGGTGTCAGACATGACGAGCCAGAGCCAGATCGACGGATGACGATGGAAGTGCGAGGAGACAACGGTGGACGAGAGAATACAACGTGTTGGTGTCTGTCATTGGACGTCAGGAATAAATGTTCACACCGTGAGGCATGACAAAAGTTCGTAAGGTTTTAATATCTTAGTCGCAAACGTTTCAATCGCGATTCTTATATCGTACGTAAACCATTACGCATGACAAAACGTAACGAAAACGCGATCAAATGATACGCGGAAGTTGGCTGCAAATATGCCAAAGCTCGTGAGAAGCGTGTAGTGTGTGTGAGCATTGCCACAGCAAAACACTCGTGGAAGGGCACGCATATGTGAGTGGAACTAGCCCCGAACATAATCGGGTTTAATGCATCGTAACCATGCATCGTAACATTCACAAGTTTGTCTTCTTTTACCAGGCTCCAGTCAAGCACTATCTCTTACGGCATATGTGTGCTAGCTTGCATTTACGAGGTTCATTCTCCAAAACAGCTCATAATTTTCACATTGCTTGTCTCTTGAAGCATGCCAATAAACTTGAATCAACAGCCCAGCATGGTTCATAAACTCTGTATCTTTTCCAGCCAGCCGGTCTTTTGCACCATGTCATCAAAATTCATTTTCCAGTCTATATGAGGTTTTTACGGCTAGTTTGTAAATCCCGCCATGAAGCCATAGTTTTGACAAAAGGGATCACACCGTTGAAGCTGACCATGAGGCTGTTCGCTAATTGGCTTTCGATCAGGCCCTACCTACGAGTAAATGGGTCAGAGCTCAGACGTTTAGTGGTATGACATTTTTAAGACTTCAGTCTGTACGTACTACAGAGTACTGTCAGTGTGATGACTTGAGCATCACAAGATTTGCAGGCTCTGACGACGACTTGAATTCCTAGTTTGCGGGACCTGATGATCTGTATTCTGTTGACACCGCAGTTTGCGAGCTCTGGCGTTTTGTTAATTAACATCACGTTTTGCGAGCTCTGACGTTTCGTTGACGCCGCGGTTTGCGGTTCGTGGGGCGGACCGTTCCGTTTGCGGGCTGACAATGGCTGGACACGGGCGGTGGGCGGCCACTGGAGCTCCGCGATCAGTCGACCGTGACGAACGGCACCGGCCGGCCGGCTGTGTGACACATCCAGAGGAGACGTCAGCGACCTCGGCCAGCTGCCGGCCGGTCATCTCCGGGGAGAAAACACGGGTGGCTGCGGCTACCAACCAGCAGCCACAGGCTGCAGGGGTTGGAGTTATGGGAGAGGGGAGAGCTGTGAGCACTGAGCAGTGTCGGTTCGTGTGACGTGTCTGCGACAGGAAATGACAGGGTGTCAATCAGCAAACGGTGGGGTAAAGTGGGGGTTGTAAGCCGTGTAGGGTGAGGTGGGGTGGGGTGGCAGCCATGTCAAACAAGCGTGTGTGCCGGCGAGCAGAGTGGTATTTGATTCCGCACATGGTAGCAGAAGTGAGTGTGGAAATACCTGTCTGTACGGACCGATCAAGACACAGCAGAGGGACGTCCACCAAACGGAGAGCTAGGTCGAAACTACGGACAGAAAGACATCAGCTGAAGCGCGCACTGTACACAGGCCACAGGCTATATGGACCTCGGAGGAGCTGATCTATTAACGGCGATCAATGGCATTTGCATTATGTATTTTGATGAAACATGTCCTACATCGACATAAGGTAAAAACGGAATAATGCTGATGAAAAATAGATACTCGGTTGGATAAACAGTCTTAAAAGGCTGAAATAAAAACTAAATTGAATTGAAACATCCTGTAACGGAGCTTTTACCTACCTGAAAAGTTCGGCAAACCCCTAAGTGCTGTGCTGGGTGAGTAATGTGCAAAAGGCGTGCACTGGTGTTGGGTGTACACACGCATTCAACATTTACACAACCAAACAGCATAACAACTTTCAGACAACCTACTTGACTGTCAAACTGTTGACCACCTGTCGAAGTTAAACGGTCATGCATCATTGCCGCTACCTTCCCATTCCTACCGCGACCCGAAACACACCAGAATATAGACCACAGCGACCCTAATTTACATTCGAACCGACGTCCTGGAAGCAGGCACCAATTACGTGTTCACCCGGCACTGTTCACCGATCAGACCGGCTAGGGAGGCGTGGTGTCTGCTCCCGATCCGGGCTGGGCGGTCATCACCGTCCTCTTCAGGGAACAACATACTGGACTATGGGGTTTCTGTGAGCGCTGGGACTGGATCCGCGGGACAGACTACTGACAAAAGAGTGCCGACCATCCACAGACCACGGAACACAGCACATAAGACTGTAATTCAGGGTCCGGTAAGAAATGACATGTCGTGCTTGGGGACTGGTAGATCCATTACCTAACGCGAGAGGCATGTCCAGCTAGGGACTGGCAAATCAGATATCTGCCGGGAGACCGGCACAAGTGCAGACCACGGACCAAACACTGACCACAGACCAAAATGGACCAAACACATTCCACGGACCACGGACTGAGAGAGCCACCGCGCCGGGTTGGTCTCGGTCCGCCGCGTCCGCCGCCGCCGGCAGCCCTTCTTCCTCGTCAGCTGGTGGCCATTCGACCCGCTTCTGTGAGCCACTGAGTCGCTGACCGTACTCTCCGATCGCCACAAGGCCGCCGCCGCCGAACGGCGTCAGCGGAGGGCCGGATTTAGAGCAGGACGTGGTCGCGATCGACAGGGGATGGCGCCGATGAAATGGTGATGGGGCTGAAGAGAGGTAATGATGGGACTGAAGGAGAATTGATGGGATTGAAGGAATTCTGATGGGAATGGAAGAGTAGGTAATGATGGAACCGAAAAGGTGCTGATGGACTGAAGAAGATGACGATACTAGGAAGTGAAGGAACGGGGACAGCCGGATAAAAGTGCAATGGATTATGGATACAACACAATAATAAGAGAATCTAATGATCCATGCCCATTGCCCACCAATGCATTGGTGCATTGGTGCAATGGAACGAATAGGAATCTAGGGAATTGCAAAAGAAACGAAGAACGACAGGACCAACTCGACAGTGATACGGCAGATGATTCTGTCGCGAGAAATAGCGGTGAAGAGACCAAAAGAACAGGTACCGTTAGTAGTTGGCGACAGTTACGGCATTTATTATTGTCATCGTCCCTACCTACTAAGCGAAGTTCCATCTTGACGCTAAACAATAACCATTCCGTTATATGCATATGCCCGACATTACGCAGCGTAACGAGGGTAAATGCCAGCGTGTTAACTGGCTTAGTTGGATGATATCGTAACGACGCACAATGCCACGAATCCCAAATCTCTTCTCATTTTCGCGACAAGAGCTTTAAACCGCCGCCATAATCCAGAGAATCCCGAGAAGTCGTTTTCACCGGGCGGTTTTCTGTCGTCACCATTTAAATCGACTCAGTCACACGATGGAATAAATCACATGCACCGATCGAAGTCTATCCGGTGCGCGGTGGGAATCCAATGGAAAGCCGACGGGAATTCGGCGGCAATCCGTTGGGAACGCAGCGGTCTCTGTCTCCAAATCAGCCGGTAAGCCGCGCTGCGACTCCGTGAGAGTGTATTGGAGAGCGTTTGGTACCGACGGAACTGTCTCCCCAGCTCCGCGACATTTGGCGACATTCAGCGTCTCTCGACCACGTCGACTCGTGACGGTGTTCACGGTGTCTGACGGCCGCTCGTGACGCCGTTCACGGTTCACGGCCGCCGTGCGAGCGCCGTGATTCGTGAAAGGTGATGTGACGACGCCTGATGACGGCCGTAGACTTACTGTGTCCGTGGCAGACGAGGTGACAAATGCACAGCCGAGACAGAAAGCGCCAGGAACTCCCGACCATTGATTTGGCAATAGTGCATAACAAAACAATATCTATCTAACCACAACAGCTTTGCTATGAATGCACAACATTTTCCAGCCAATCTCACTTTCAAAGTGCAGTCACGCCTGGGTTCTTGGCGTGAGTTTCGCCCGTTATGTCTAACTGTCCGCAAACCGGATGGGATTCATGTGCTCAGCTCACGTGCAGGTGTCATTTGTGCAAATGTGAGTCAAACACCGGAACGTCTGACACCAATCTGCCGATATTTAGCTACTGACCAGTCCCAGCCGTGCTGCCTACCAGCCAGCTGGAAAGTCGGAAAGGCCGGTACTGGGACAACGACCCCAGATACAGAGGACGGAGAGACAGACAGAGAGAGGAGATGACCTCCTCAGCTCCACCAAAAACACATCGCGGCGCAGTGGGGTGGAACTTACTTACCCACCCATTGTGGAAAGCCCCGCCTGTTTCATCTGCACTATTCAGTGAGGTGGAACAGAACCCTCTCACTCACTCCCTCTCCTTTGGTTAGCGTTTGACCACCCCCCGAGACTGACCTTGTGGTCGGAGGTCTTCCTCCTGAGCTTCTCAACCTTCCGCAGCTCTCGGGGCTCGTCCCAGGCCTCGGACTCTTGGTCGGCCTTTTCGATGATGAGCACACTGGCGTTGTAGAGCGGTGACACCTGTCCGGGAAATGGGGGGAGGGGGCAGTCAGGAGGGTAGAGCAGAGGGGACCTCTCACCGGGAGATAAGTTTGTCGAGAGACGTAAAATAGTGATTAAACGATGAGACAATAAAAAGATAGTACACTCCTTCCGTTGATCCGGTTAAAGCCACCAATACTGTTTTTAGATTGCTCGAAACGCAATAAGGATGGGAGACTGAAATTCAGAATGCCCAGCATCTTAGGGGAAGTTGGGGCAATGCCGGAGTTGGGGCAAAGCCGAAATTCGAGATATTTCGAAAACCGTAAGACATGGATGCCACCTGTCAGTGATGCTCTGAAGCTTAAGTGACTACAATTATCGCATGTTTGTTACGAGTCGTCATTCGGAATACTTCGACTGTGAGGGCGCCAAGAGCGTTTTCAAGGTACGTTTCCCTTGTACTACATGCGCCTTTGAAGCTGCATTTCTTACTCATTATGCTACCGTTTGTCTGGCCAATTCGGTCAAGTAATCTTTAGCATGTCTTTGCATAAGTGTGCTGCCTATTTGAAATTTATACAGCACGTTGAAAAGTTATGGGCCTGCAAATGAAAGTATGGCAGGCTGGGGTAATGCCGAAAACGTGCGATTACGCACGTGTTAAAAGCACGCTACGTGGACTTTACTGCTGTAGAATAGCAACGCGTATTTTTAGTCACACAAATTACACTTTCAACCGACACAACGGCCTGTTACCTATAAGGAATGATTTACCTGGCATGTTCTTATTATATCACACAATTATAACTTCCAGTGTGCACCGCTTCCTCAAGCTCTTAAAACGCGTGTCAGCTTTGATCAATTCTGGATAAAGTTTGAGATAAAATGGCAAAACATCAATGTCGGCATTCCCCGTAGATCATTTCTCCCATTTTCGGCTTTCCCCGCAGTCCGGGGCAACGCCGAAAAAGTCACTTCTTTGATATTTTTAGTTTGTGCGCTTAAAGGGACTATCCCACCTTTAACATGGGGTTTGAGTTGAGATAGCCAAGTTTGCGGCGAGGCTCAGAAACCACTATCTATCTAGGTTGCAACCCCCGCGGCCTCTTAGTGTTGAAGAAATTCGTTCCCTTCATTTGAAAATGGGCCTTGTACAAGGCCCTATCTTCAACATGGAGCGACCGTTAGTGTGACGTCACCTCGTTTAGTCATTCTGATTTAAATGGGTTTGTTCGTTGAAAAATCGCTTAAAACTTAGTCTGACTTTGTTGTGGTGCCTACAGAGTAAAAAGAATCAGCTTTATGACAGTAATGTGGCCTGGGGAAGGAGGTAATTTTGGGCTGTGACGTCACATATTTGAAAGTTTGTGTTTGGAATATGGGAAGCCTAAGATGTTTAATGAAAAATAAATGCCAGAACCGTGTTCCTGGTCATCCAATCTATAAAGTCGGGCACAATTTAACTGGTTTTAACAACATTTTAGAAGGTGGGATAGTCCCTTTAACGGTATGCGAATTCATCAAATGCGCCTGGTATGTTTGAAAGGCAAAAGACTGGCCTCTCGAATGACGCCAACAAGAATAGCTTATGTTGTCTACCTTGCGTGCTACGGGCGTCAGAAAAAAAGTCTTCGGCGTTCCCCCAACTTCCCCTATTCAATATGAATATTTTCGCACCGGCTTTATATTATTTTCAGGCTAGGTCAGGTCACTGACCCATTGTGTCATACGTTAACCTCTATACGGTTAAAAAATCGCAACTTCGCCACGTTGCGTGCCTGGGAATCTTTCAAAATGGGATTTCACGTCCTTAAAAGTTAAAGCTTGTATGTCTCTAATTTTACATAAGGGTCATCGAGGGTCATCCGAGGTCAAGTCAAGTGCGATTTACTCTTTTGTTCCAGTCAAGTTCCAGTACTTTCTGTTCAATAAATATCATCATCATCATGCAAGTCAATCACGTGGCATTCCTAATACATTTACAATTCATCGAGGAAAACACGGAAACCGCTGCTTTATCGCTGGGAGTAATGAATTCCATCTTATCTTCTGCATCTCGAACCGTAATTTTATAGCTAACTTGCAAGGTTCGATGTTTTATTTTTGCATTTCGGACCTGGTGTGAAGGCTTGAATGATACGTCTTTGAGGTCAGTTAATATTCTTTTAATGTCTCCCGATCTAATTGAAATAAAGAGTCGGGAAAGTCAACAACGAATTCAAAAAGAGCCAACAATTCCAATGATATGCAGCATTACATCCATCGACCAACTTTCTGAGCTTTGGCCTGATGTTACCACCCAATTTGACATTCCTAAACAAAAACAGAATCATCGTTATTATACAAGCAAATGGTAGTGCAATGATCTCTTTAACCTTTTCATCGCTGATTGAGCTGATTTTTTTTGTGAAAAGAGAACGTTTTCGTGTCATGTCTCCAATGAACTGTTGACCTCTAAGGTCAAGTCGACGACTCATGTGTCAGGTTCCGGTTTTAGCAAATATCTTCGGGAAAATACTTCCAGAACAACAATTTGACACAATCGCGTCTGCCACATTATTCAGCTGCGTCAAATTATATACTTTTTGGTTGGGAAACTTTAACTTGCTCCAGTTGCCTATTCTGGATGTTCTATCTAATATTAGTACAGTTATAGGTTCCGTAAATACTGGGCAGGCTATGTTATTTGGACATGACCTGCGGTTAGGTATGTGCCCACAACCCGTTGGTTCCCATATCAGTTACGGGTGAAATAAAATGACATGCCTGCACAGTTGCACGTCAGAAACCGACATTACGTCACGAACATCTCGCTGACCATATGCAAAATATACGCGAATGCTTCGCTCAAAGATATTAGGATTTTCAACTATGCTGATTTACCGCTCGCAAGATCAAACCGTAAAGCGTTTTTTACGAAGTGGAAAAAATTGCACGTAGAATTGTACGTTTCATGATATTGTACCCTTGCAGCGAATGATATCCAATTTTGAGGTCTCAGGCCAAGCCGTGACATCTGAAGTCAGGTCACAACTCAAAGGTAGGGATTGTGTGTCGTGTGATGAACCACAACTGCTGACCAAAACACTTCACGACCTATTCCGGAACATCGTATTCAGGCCAGCGCACGAGTCCCACCCAACCCAACCTCCACCCCGTACAGCCGCGCTGGCCAACCCACCTGTTTCTGCGGCTGTGGCGGCGCTCCTCCGGCCTGGAAGTGGTTGCGCAGCTCCTTCACGGACGGCAGCTGAGGCGGCGGATCCGCAGAGCCGGGGGAGGCCAGGCTCTCCCGTCCGTCCGGGCTGGGACGCTGCTCCAGACCACCATCCCCGGTTGGTTGGGTGGTCGGTGGTTCGTGGGCCTCCTCCTCCTCCACATGGACGTATAGGGGTGAGCGGCGCACCTCCTCCTCCGCCTCCTGCTGTTCACACGGCTCCTCCGCGTCCGGTTCCTCCTCCACCGGCGGCGGCGGAGGAGTGGTCGTCATCAGAACCGACGGCGAGACCGACAGGGTGCTGCGCCCGTCGACGGCGTCGGCGGGCGGAGTCGATCGGCGTCTCTGACCAGCCAGCTCCTCGGCCGACCGACTGAGCTGCTGCATGCGCTGGACAGCCGAGCGGACGGTCCCCTCGGGAGGCATCTCTTCCTCCGCCACCGCCGGAGAGGCAGCTGAGGAGCGGGTGGACGGCCGTCGTTCGGAGAGTCCCCCGCCGGACGCTGCGGACGGAGACACGCTGGAGACTCGCTCAGTCACAGCTAGAGACTCGGTGGAGTGGTAGACCGACCCGGCGCCCGCCGAGCGCAGGTCGTCGTTGGAGCCGCGCACGGAGAGCGGCGGCAGAGGCTCCTCTGAGAGCGCCGACACGGGCCGCGACGAGACGCCGCCGCCGGCGACGCTGCCGCCCTGCCAGACGTCGTCATCGTTAGACACAATCGACATGGGGATGGATACGGAGGGCGGCGTGGGCGGTGGTCGCGCTCCGGCCGCGCCAGGTATACTGCAGTCTCCGCGCCCGCCGCCGCCGCCGCCGCCGGAGACACCAGTTGAGAGCGACGCCCTCTGGGCGGTCCACCGCGCCGCAGCCAGCCGCCGCCGCCGCCACGCCCGGCGAATTTGACGCCTGATTGCTTTTTTCTCTCTACACGTTTTGAAGCGGTGCCTAGTCGGCGTTCAGAGCGGCGGTGGCTGGCTGGGTGCCGTTACTCGGCGGCGGAGGTGGCCAGCGCGCTCTGCGCGGAGTACCGGCCGGCAGAAATAATGGACGTTTGGCGGCGCGCACGAACCACGCTGACGGCGTCCGTAACGGGAGCGCAGCGGAGCGGCACGCGCCTCCTTCTGGTGTCCGCGGGACGGTCAGCTGCGCGGCGCCGGGCTACAGACAGCAAACATCTACCGCAGGTCGGGCCCGCCCTCACGGTTAGCAAAACTCGATAGAAAACTGAATAGTTTGTAGAGAAAGAGCTGCTCAGCTGAGCTTAGTTTCACGTATGAAGGTCAAATATCTCTAGGATATTTGAGTTTCCTTGCGAAGTGAATCTCTTTTACTACTCGATAGAAGCAAAAACGCAAACATTTAGAACGAGCCTACGACAACTTCCATACGCGATTTGGGTAGAACGTGTCATTTGCTATAAACGGTCCGATGGAATTTCGAACATGCACGGCAAAAAGACATCCAACAGTGGCACACGCAGCGGCAACTCAATGAAAAATGCATGTCCCGTAGGCGTAGTAGCGCGCAAAATAAGGCAACAATGAACACTGAACAAAGGACATAAAAATGCAATCAACAGAACATGAATATGAACACACAAAAATGTAATGAACTGAACATGATCTTTATTTTTCGTAAGGACAATCAGCGAATATGCTGAAAAAACGACCGAGTAATAAAAGAACAATATCAGGATCGACTGGATGAGAACCTTTCATGGCTGAGCATGTGTAAGGAAAAAGGCGGACGTTCGTTCATCCGATAAAAGGGCAAATCATAGGGAGGTGAAACTGAAACGAGCCGAAACGAATCGAGTTGAAAGCGAAGAAATGATCGGTCTTTCACAACAACGAAACTGACACTCCATGACAAAAATGATCGAATAGCATGAGCCACCGGCATCACAGGCTCGCGCCCTCCGCACACCTTTTCCATGCTAGTTACTTACCGCCGAAACCGAGCAACAAAACAATGCCATTCGCAGCCGGAAGCACTCACTCGCCCTATGAATTAACCTCATGAACCCAGCGCAACCCAACCATGCTACTGCAACGGACTCCTCCCAGTCACCGGATCAGAAATGAAACCGCGCCGCGCGGCACTGCACAGCCAGTCACTCACTCTCGGAATCTGCAGGGGCTGGATCACCAAGTCGCGGGCGCCGTCTCGAGCGGCGGTATACGCCCACCGAGTCGGAAAGGCGACCTTCTCTTCCCACAGTTTCCCCCGCTCAGACGCGACGCTACAGCATTGCATGAGAGCGGCAGAGTCGCTCTCCATTCTACATGGCTCGCCTACAGCCGGGACCCTATTGTCTGATGATATGCTAAATGCAGTGTGTGCGTGACCGTGTGCAAGGTATTTGCTGTTGAGCATATTGTCCGATACATAGAAAGTCTAAGTGGCTTTCACTGGTTCGCTAAACTGGCCTGAGCTTTTACCGGCGTTGAAATAACGAACGAGAGTCGTAACCTGCTCATGCTCGAAATATTTTAAACGGCAACCACATTTTCTGAGTGAGCGCGGCGAAAGGAACTCTGAGAACGATAATTTCTGTCACGCACCATTAACACTTCATGGATACACGAAACTCAGCCAGAGCGTCAGTTTCCCACCACGACCTTTCCTTTTCCACGGACGGGAAAGCCATTGGGTCACACATCAGATGGCCTGACATCCCCTCGGCTGCCGGCTCCACGAAAGCCTTGTCAGGGTTCAGTATAACGGTGGACCTCGCTCCGGTTTAGCCAGGGCAGTAATTACCGTGGGGCAGCCCAGACCAGTGATAATGAGCCGGAGCCGACCTGGTTAGAGCTTCGTGCTCCTATCGAGAGACTCGAGGGACGATCACAATTCACAGCAGTCTTCCCTCCCGGTTGGTTAGTAGGTTGGCCCGTCTGTAAGTCTGCAGCTACAGCACAGTCTCTGAACAAGAAAACTAAAACTACAATATCTGAAACGGTCACAGTTCGGATAAGTACCTACGCCATTGCAGCAGTATATAGATGCGGACAAACACACCGATGTAAACGACAGGCCTATCAGCACTGTGATCGCTCTGTAATTAGGACCACGCTCCGTTGATAATTGCTTCGTACAAATCTGCGGAGGCAGTGGCTATCTCTATTTTTATGAGTGCCAATTTTATCACCCCAATGGCTCTTCTGATCTTTCGCTTAAAGGTCTGTGAATACACGACCCCACAGTTAGATCCCATCTTCTGCTAACTACGCACGGAAGAACAAGAGAGACAATGTCTCGGCTTTGGTCGGCTAATATCCGACGGTAAATGACCTAGTCGCCAGCATGTTCCAATTTCACTGGTGCCGTCAACGTGAAACTGGATGGTTTCACGACTGCCTTACATTGTACGAGATCTTACATAGCCAAGACGAACGACTAACAACGAACGGAAATGTAAAACAAGGGGAAGTCAGCTCACGCCGACCTGCCGACTTTCCCTGTGTTCCCCGTGGTGAGTTAGCCCAGTACCTAGTGCGCGGACCGGGCGGTGTGGTTTGGACCATCAGAACGGGAGCACCGACTGACGCCTGTGTGGTGACTGGTGACGGCTGGTGTGGTGACTGGTGACGGCTGGTGTGACAGGTGTGACTGGTGTGGCAGATGACGGCTGGTGACTGACAGTGACACCTGTCACAGCCGCACGGAGAGAGAGGTAGAGACGATGACGTGCTGACCCACAGCGGAATGGACGGAAGGATGAGACTGGAGAGACCAGAAGGATAGACGGACAGACGGACAGATGGATAGACGGGCGGATGGATGGATGGATGGATGGATGGATGGATGGATGGATGGATGGATGGATGGATGGATGGATGGATGGATGGATGGATGGATGGATGGATGGATGGATGGATGGATGGATGGATGGATGGATGGATGGATGGATGGATGGATGGATGGATGGATGGATGGATGGATGGATGGATGGATGGATAAATCGATCAGACGGATAGACCGATTGACGGAAGCACACTAGACAGGTGGGTGAGCATACGAGAGGATGGACTAATCGATGGATTTACGTACAGACAATACACGAAAAGGAAGTGGCTAGACGGGTAGACGGATAGTGGTGTGCATGATCGTGCTATCTCGACCTCATCCAATAGTACACCATCTACCATTATACTGAAAGATAAAAAAGACTTGATCATATATGGCTACTGGTTAGTCATCCACCATTTTCTCCTGTTGTAGAAAAATGAACCGATTTCTGACTCCAGTGCGAATGGAGGAGATAGCGTAATTGGAAGACTTCGAAAGTTTACTGACAGAGTTTCAGCCCCGGCTGACTGAAGGCTGATTATCTGTGGACCTCTCCCCGGTCGTTATCGCGTTATCACCAACAGACGGTGGCAACGGCCACTAAAGCGGGCAGAGCGCGCTGCATTAGGGCCAGTGGGCGGAGCTAGCCACTGACCACCGGCCGAACGGTGGCAGCTCAACCATGCAACAATGATACGCTCTATTTCACAAACAGGCATTATTGATAATAGAATCTCTGGAAATATCTCGTGTAATTAACCGAGAACTTGACTCACGAAATGAGCAAATGAACTTCAACGGAACACTTCGCGAGTATTTATCGCATTTAAGGTCCATTTAGGTTGCAATGCCTTGCAAATGTTGTTGGGACGTAAGTGGGCCGTATCAGTGCCTAGGTGGAACGAGGTAAATCTAGCTTTCTTGCTAATTTTCTTCAATGACTTGAAACTTCATAGAATATTCCAACCATCCAATAGAATAACACCTCCCTTAGACATCGGCCGCCTACGTAGCACACATGACCGATTGTCGCCGGAGAATCCCTCTTATCCTACTCCCCACAGCCAACACCCGGCACTCAGCAGGCAGCCGCAGCAGGCACCCACTGAACGTCGGCCAGTGACCGGTTGGGATCGGTTCCAGTCGGACAGAACGTCAGTCGTGTGCCACTAACGACAGGCCGGGCCGAGAGTAGCGTCGGAGCGCAGACGAGCGGCCCGGCCGACTGACCGAGCCCACACAATAGGGGAGAGACACGCCGGCACTGACGCGAGGCGGGGAGAGAGAGAGAGAGAGAGAGAGAGAGAGAGAGAGAGAGAGAGAGAGAGAGAGAGAGAGAGAGAGAGAGAGAGAGAGAGAGAGAGAGAGAGAGAGAGAGAGAGAGAGAGAGAGAGAGAGAGAGAGAGAGAGAGAGAGAGAGAGAGAGAGAGAGAGAGAGAGAGAGAGAGAGAGAGAGAGAGAGAGAGAGAGAGAGAGAGAGAGAGGCGGGTGTGACAGGTGGGACGGATGGAACCACTGATGAGCGGTATTGAGAGCGATTCGCGACGCTCCAAACAGAGGTATTAGGCCGCGGGGCTTTCTCCAGGACGTTTGACACGGTGTGAGGATGATAAAGAGAGGGAAATTCGAGTGATGACTGGTGCCGCAGAGATGTCAGCTTCTCCAAAAGTGAAGCAGTGGGTGCTTGTCTACCACATACCTACTCACTACACACAGTGCATCGAAAAGAAATGTTCGGTATGGTGCAAGAACACGAAGTGGTATTCGCAAAAATATTCATCACAATAGAACTATCATAAATAGATCAATAAACTGAAGAGATATTAAGTCAGATCATTAAGTTAACTGCACACAGAACAATCATTCAGATACGATACAAAGCGACTAGAATCATAAATAACAAACATTATTGTCGCGACACCTGCACAATCGAATACCAGTCAACCTCATCACACGAACCGTTCAACTGAACTTCGCACGGCCTTTCAATCACAGTCATGCCCGGGAAGGTGAATTTCCTGTGGTCCGTTAACCGAGACTTGCTCTCTCGGACCGACAGGGCAGGAGAATCCCACGGTTTGCAGACTGACGAGGTGACATTGTTCTGACGTTACGGCGAAAAACGAAGCATGGGAGCGGGCGGGCCGGAGACACACACAGACAGACAACGCCCACATGGCTCTCAGCTCTCGGCAGTGCGGGGACAGGGCAAGGGAGGGACGCCAAAAGAAGACTTTGTTGCTTAGATTCACTGTAAGAATGACTCATAGCGTTAACTGTCATTTCACTATTCAGTCCTCGCCTATTGCTATCATGCCAGCGTGTTTCGCCGCACGGGCAGAGCACCCCTGCTGCGGAGCGCTGCCTTTAGCACACCAGCACGGCACTTACGAGCGCCATCTATAGGCTCCAGCACCGCCTCGGTGAGAGATCTAGGCCAGGGTGGCTCCTTCCTACCCCCAGACCCACTAACGGCTCCACGATCTAACGATGTAGAGCAGAACAGCTCGTCAACACTCGGCCGGTACAGAGGATTGCTGCTGAACTGCCACGACCCAGTCAGACTTCGAAAAGGCCGCCGTAAGCTCAGCCGTGCCTCCAGCGACGACAGGTGGCGCTGCGCGTCAGCCGATAGGCGGCGCTGCTGCAGCGAGGCCGGCTGGCTTACCTGGCGTCGGCTGGCGGACGGGACAGACGACCAGCGACCCCGGGCGCTGGCGTTGATGTAGTAGTCCCGCCGGTATCTGGAAAGATTGACGATCGTTTTATGGCCTGGCGAGACAAGTTGAATGAAGTAGACACTTGAACATAAGTTGGGTGCAATCATCCGAGTATAAGTAACATCCGCGCTGCTGGTAGGTACTCCTATTCCTCGTCAAAAGCAACAAGAATATGCTGTTGGACTTGGTAATGCGCCTCACCTCTCCGAGTTGATGGACTTGAGTCCGCAGTCGATCTTGTTGGAAGGGTCGGTAGAAACCAGGTCATGGTCCGAGACATCCTCTCCAGAACTGCAAGAAGAACGGGTCGTCAGTGCTACTTTTTCTGGATGAAGCCGAGATCATTCTTCAACTTCCCTGGCGCTTACCGCAAATGCAATGTCCAGCCAGGAAACTGACGGTAAGCCCTTCCCCAAAAAACTTCGTACCACAGCTGTTACGGGCAAGCCATGTCCTGGAGCTATTCTTCATCAAACCCTCCCTGTGGTTTATCGTACCTGTAGTGCGACGTGGCGTAGTAGCCGGTGCGGTCAAGGTGCCGGCTCCGCCGCCGCTGTTTCACCCGCTCCAGAGTGTACGGGTTGTTGGGCATGGCCACGGCGTTCTCCCATTTACGGTGCTCCCGCTCCGCTATGGTGCCTAGGGAAACATAGTTCGGAAGTCAGGGGAGAATGCCAGAGCGAAAAAAAAAACTTATAATCGAGCGATAATCACACAGAAAATGGCATTTTGCAGTCACAGCACTCCATAAGTGTTGTAATATATGTAAATGCCCATGGTATGCGTGCCAACATGCGTAAGTCGGTCTTTATCAGTTACAGCGTTGTAATTAGGACAAGTCGGCACCGTTCACTCATATGTCACAGGAAAAATTATCATCTACAGCTCGAATCTCGAAACTCTCTTATCACCAGACCATAACCCCTCCTCCCAGCCTCTGACCTGGCGGCGGCTGCGGCAGACAGATCTCTCCGTCTCCGTCCCCGTCTCCGTCTGACTCCGAGTCCCGCCCGCCGTCCGCCGGAGACCGGACCCTCGCCGGCCGCGCCCGTAGGATCACAGAGTTGCACGCCTCTGTCAGACTGGTCTCCTTGAGAGCTTCGTCTCGGGATGTGACGTAACTGGGTGGTGACGTCATCGGAGTGGAAGGGGATGTCACTGGACTGGGAGAGGCGGCAGGACGGGTCGTCCTCTCTCGAACCTGAGAAAAGAGACGAAGTTGCAAATACCACTCTTTTGAACGCCGTCAAAACATAACCACTAGCATATTCAAATTAGCGTAGGAAAGTCACAGATGAACGGGCAGTCGGTGTCGGTACCATGATATGAGAAATGAACAATGTATAGAGTAGCTGGAGACAAAAGCATGCCCATTTAAGAAAGTTGCCACGCCTAAAGAGCCTGTCACTCACGAGCTTGCCCTGAGGTGATCATTATCACAACAGACCCCAGACTAGTACGAATCTGGTGCCTCGTATAAGGAGATATAGCAATACATAGACAAGTCTCGTATTATAGCGAATGTCTATGTAAATGTCAACGTAAGTAGTCTAGAAAGTAAGTGGCATCCTTCATAGCAATCCCACATGTTGCAGCTCAGCCTCTGCTCCTTACCGCGTGTCTGACGGCCGGCGGGCTGGGCGGCGGCAGCGGCGCGGCGGGGACCTCTGGCGGCGGCTGCACCTCTACCAGGAACGGTCGGCTGACCGCGCCGGCGCTGCTGTCGGCTCGGACACTGTACTGGCCAGAGTCAGCCGGACGGATTGGTTGGACGACCAGCACCCACTCGCCGCCACTGTGACGCTCTGGGGACGGAGAGAAAATGTAGAGTTAAAAAAGAACAGAATCTCACTGCTAGCTTCGGTGAGATTTGACAGCAAAGTGGGCAAATATCTCGCAAGGGGTCATCGTATCCCCACAAACACTCAACAATACAAGCATACAAAGCTTAGCATTATGTATATGTGAAATTACTTAAAGTGCGTACGCTCGTCAGTCGTCATGCACCCTCTTAGGTCTAAATTTCAGCATGAATTGAAGGGTTGCCTCGATTTTAATCCCAACTAACCGATAGAAAAAGGCATGGTATTATTCACAGTGAAAGCTAGTTACCTTTCAGTACCCATGCCGACATAATATCTCTTCTCACCTATCCGAACGGTGTCCGAGTGCCGCAGTGGCCGCTCTTCTCTGAGGAAGGTCACCCTGGGCTCGGGCTGGCCCACCACCCGTACCGCCAGTCTCAGGGCCGCCCCGTCCACCGGCTGAAGAGTGGCCTCGGGGGCGACGGAGAACCGGGGCTGCTGGGGTGGCCGGGCGGAGCCGAGAACCTGAGGAGGAGCGGGTCAGAGGATGTCAGAGGTTACGTCAGAAGTCATATGTAGATAACAGCATGAATGTAAGCTGCGTGTGCCAGAGCCAAGGCCGTGTATGTTTTGGTAAGCAGGCACTAGACAAGAGGCAAGTAGGGGTTAAGTCACCTTAGGGGTGATACAGGTGGGTTAGATAACAGGGACGGGTCAGATCATAAACATCTGTATAACGAGGTTTATGGTCAGACTAATACCAACAGTAAAGGGGATGAAACTTTTCATCCCTGCCAACACTTCAATCGTATGGGGCCTACGTACGGCATTGCCATCGCATCCAAGCTGTAAACAATCAGCCATGTCAAGTTCCTGCATTGAAGTGATCTGTGAGGTCATATCTCTCACCCTGAAAGTGAAGTGGAGCCAGGTCTATCTCACCCTGAGAGTGAAGTGGTGCCAGGTCTCGGCGCCGTCACCAGACAGCACCAGGCACGAGTAGCGTCCGGCGTCGCGCCTGGTGACGCCGTACACCAGCAGGTGGTGCTGGTCCCGAACTCGGTACATCTCGTGACGGTCGTCCGACTCCAGCACCGCTCCCTCCCGCAGCCAGTGTGTCTCTGAGGGTGGAAAGTGGACATAAACGCTCTCGTTAGGGTGATGGACATTCCAACACACTGACATGACGAATTGAATCGAATTAATTGATTAAATTTATAGGAAAGTATCAACAAACGATAGATCAAAGTATTGCGTTTACAGAGGAGTTCGATAGAATACAGGCATTTAAGTTGAATGTCAAATACGTGAACTGACATCACTTTTTACATGCGAAATTAAAACGTAAGATTCCTTCTAATACTACCCCACACCACCCATTTTCGTAGCTATAAATATTACGCTATCAGTCTTCTCCAAACACTTTTTTCTATCTGACCTCTCTAACCACGCAAAGAGACGCCCGAGAAACTCACCTGACCCCTCGGTGACGGGTACTCGACATCGGAACTGAGCGATGTTCCCGGCCTGTATCATCAGCTCTGTGCCCACACCAGCCGGCGCAGTTCTGGTGGCCAGACGATGCTGCACACTGTCGGTCCGCGAGGGCTCCTCCCGACTTCGAGTCACCTCCAGCGGCGGAGGGATGACCTCCGACCGCGTCACCGTCCTCTCGACAGCGGAGGACGGCGCGGAGGACACTGTCCTCTCGGGTGCGGAGGGTGTCGTCCTCTCGGAGGAGCCCTGTCTAGTCCTCTCTGCAGCGGAGAGCGTGCTCTTCGCGGCGGAGGACGCAGAGTCCGTCTGCGTTGACTCCAAACCAGCCCCGGCGGCAGGACTGGAGCTCGATGGGGGAGGTGAGCCAGCCGCCAGACGCTCCGACACCGCGCTGAACGCTTGGTCCACGTCAGAGGGCACTGAAGACCAGCTCATTGCACGGGACCGGGAAGACTCTGGGGTGCTGACGCCGGCGGTGGGACGGACAGAGGAGACGGGGGCAGGTTGAACGCGGGTGGTGACAGCCAGGGATGTGGCGTCGGTCGACGAGCGCCGCTTCTCCGTAGGTCGCTCCGCAGATTCGGTGGGACCCGACCCACTACTGACGGCAGAAAAAAACAACAACACGACAATGAATTAATTTTGTACGAGGTAATGTACCTACTACAATTCAAAATGGATGAGCAAAACATGACAAAAAATATTTGATAGATTAGTCCCGCTGTTTGATGGTGCGTGTGTTACGTTTATACAGGGAAAATGAGCGTTAAATAGCAGAAATTCTTACAATGAAATCGATCTTAATTTTATGGCAGCACCAAGAAGTAGACACCGCCCCTCACCTCGGCGTTGCGTTGATGCGCGCCGCGGTCAGGTACCGGTCCCGATCAGCATCCCTGGCCGCCTTCAGTCGACTGGTAACGTCCTGGTGTGTGACCGGAGGGACGTCGGACAGGGAGGGCGGTCCGGCCGTCCAGTCGTCCAGACTCGACTCCGAGCCGCGCTCCGACAGCTCCGACAGCTCGTCCACATCTCTGCCGGAGGAAAGTTACTGGGATTATTACTGGGATAAGCTATTAGACACGTATGTGTAAGGTTCATCGATGGTTGTGTGCGCCACCGAACATCGTTATGGGTTCGAAATGACATTAAAGGCAGGCAGTTCCTAAAACTCCCATAAACGAGCCAATCTTCTTGTTTATATATCATTCAGCATTTGCTGTTGACGTTGAGTGGAAAGGCAAGAATCTGAACAAAGTCGCAAAAATTACGAACACTTATGATCACCGAGAAGATGGGGAAATAAAGATGATAACTAAAGAGAGAGGAGCGTACACTCACCGCGCCCCGACAGTGACGGCGGTGGGCTGACTGGGGTCCGGCACCAGCATCGGTACGGGCTCCTCTCCCAGCAGACGGTTAGCCTGTGTGAGCCGGCGTCGCCGGAACAGCCAGTTCTCCTCCCACGAGGTGCCGTCACCCGACTCATCGTCATCTCCCTCGTCCAGCGGAGAGACTGAGCAGAAAAAGGGGAGCTATCAGTGGGGGTCTTCCACGGGAAACAGTTAATTGTAGATATTGTAGATATTGTATTGAGGGAGCTATGCGTGACTGTTATTAAAGGGAGCAATGTAAGTAAAGTCGTCAGGATCGGTCTGCAGAGTGACATCGTGGTGCGGAATTATGCGAACGGGGATATTTTCTTCAATAGAGCACCGGTGTCTTGTCAATCACACGACACTGTTATGTTCTCAATCAATGTCTTGGTATCCCCTTACTCCTTCCATTGCCACCTGCTTAGTACCGCTTAGTACCGACGCCTTGGTACCGAACATGAAAGGACGTGACTACTAGTCAAGAGAACGACTACAGTGAAGTTGGACGCTTGGGTCGCAAGGCTACGCGTCCTATTCCAACAACAGCAACAACAACATCAATCAATGTCATTGATCCATATAGGACGATACTGTTGGAAATGAAACCGACCTTCAGTGAGGCTCCTGCCCAGTTCTGGGAACGGCACCGACTGTCCGCCACCGAACGTCAGGTCAGAGTAGGAAATGGACGGACCCGGCAGTGACAGATCGTCACCTGTGAGGACACGGAGAGACAGACAGTCAGAGACGAGATACAAACGGTCAGAGACGAGATACAACGGTCAGAGACGAGATACAAACGGTCAGAGACGAGATACAAACGGCCAGAGACGAGATAAAAACGATCAAAGACGGGATACAAACGCCCAGAGACGAGATACAAACGATCAGAGACGGGATACAAACGATCAGAGACGAGATACAAACGATCAAAGACGGGATACAAACGGTCAGAGACGGGATACAGCTGGTCAGAGACGGGATACAGCTGGTCAGAGACGAGATACAAACGATCAGAGAAGGGATACAGCTGGTCAGATACACGGAAGCTAACTGATCAAAGAAGCCGAGATAGCCAGTCAGGTAAACGGGAGAAGCTTTGACAGAGACATGAGACACATAAGAGACGCGGGATATAACCTTTCAGGGACCACTGATATGCATTATCCCGGGACACACATTCGTGCAGCAGTTGCCAACGATTTGCGACAGGATGACTCTGCTCACAGGCTCATATAGGTGTATCGATGACTCCCGATAAACTCACCCACAGCGGTGCGAGTCCGTGTCTGTCTGCGTGCCCGTGGTTTCCACCACAATCTGAACACCACGGCACCCACACAGCGCTCATAACACAGCATCGCATGGCTTCACCGCACCTCACACTCCACCCACGTAGACAACGCGCACTGCGTAATAACGCCGGCGGAAATTCGGCACAGCGGGAGTAAAACCGTCACTAGAGCACTAATTAACCCTCCCTGGCACCAGCCCGACACCAGACCAGCTAGACGTTCACCACTGGTTCACCCACAGCACCAGCCAGTGGTAGCGACCAGGCGCAGTCACCCCGACCGCGCACACCATCAGCGACTAACCCACTGCGCAGGACCGGCTAACACTGTACACAGCACTGGACATAACAGCGGGGGGATGCGACGGGAGGGGGAGGGAGGGGACACATGCAGGGCTACAGGCCGCTGTGAGCACCCAGTCACACGACCGGCCCAGTATATATAGCGAGAGCGAACAGACCTGCAACAGCTGCCACAGCAATTAAGTGGGTGGGTCGTGTGCAGTCTGGTCATTGGTTGTGGCCTGTCGGCCTCGGGTAATATGGTATGGTTCGGGTCTATGGAAATAGTCCCGCTCACACCTATTTACAGTGCTATCATTTGACCGATATCATAATGCTGCTTTTTGCGAATGCTAAATCTCAACGCACTGACCAACGATAAGATAATCAGCCTCCTGTATAGATCTACATAGCACACCTTCACACCCCTTCCCTCATTCGCACACGCCTAACATCAGTGCCAGTCTGGCCACACAAACGCGAAACATTTTACGACTTCCGCCGACCCTTGTTGAGTCATGCCAATACCGTGCTGTGACCTATCAGCATCGCTCTCCGAACACGCGACTCGGGGGATGGAATGGTTGGAACAGGGCTGAACTAGTTACGGGTAGGTGATGCTCACTGTTCAAACGTCCTACCTTACAAAACGAGGTAATACTAACGTTGTGACAAGTGACAACAGTGATGCGACGTCGTGAGACGCGTCAAGATGGGAAAATGTACAGACCAAATCACCGCATGGCTGACAATTTAGCGGAGAACCTAACATTCAACTAGCCGGAGAGGTAGAACACCATTCTTATCCTACCCACCAGAGTGGTGTAACCCTACCCACGTGGCCTACCCACAGGTGCGATGAGGTATTTCCCGTGTCATATCCACCGCACAAGGTATAACAGTAACACCAGCCCGGCGTCCTACCCACCGGAGGGACATAACGCCACCCTCCTCTGCACCCACCAATCAGTGATTGTACATCACACCCCTCCTACCCACCGGAGTGGTCGCGACTGCTCCTGCTGGAGCGCAGGGTGGATGCCAGCGAGGCCACCGACGTCCGCCTGCTGCCCCCCTCGCCGTCCGTCTCCGAGCCAGTCGGGGTGGCGCCGCCGCCGCCGCTAGCAGTCCCGTCACCGTCGTCATAGGTGACGATCTCCTCAATCTCCTCCTCAATCTGTGCGAAAGTGGAAAACAATGAGACCCAAGAGTGGAAAAGCACGATTGGTGAAAAGCACAAACAAGAAACAAAAAATGCTATATGATTGAGCTGGCTATACGGAGTTGGACTATTTACCAGCAATTGTTTTTTTTTTTTGTAGCCGAAAGCTGACCCAGTTAAACTATACTGTCATTTAAAACAATTGTTATGCCGTTTGTACTTTGTACTGCGTTAACTTGTCATAATAACAGCCCCATTTCGGTGGATGATCGCACCTGATTTATCTTTGGTATGATCGTATATGATGGGTGTATCTGTATCTACGTACCGTGATCTCCAGTACCCCTCCTGTGACGTCACTCAGTCCCTCCTCGCCGTCTGTGGCCTCTGATTGGTCCACGCGCCCTCCCGTCGGCGGCGCCGAGCCCACAGGCCGGGTGACGTCACGCACAGCGGCGCACTCTACAGGACGGATGACGTCACACGACTCCGGCGGTATGAGGTCATCCGACTGCACGGCCGCATCGCAGAACGCTGTCGGAATGGGCGGAAAAATCAGGTGTGGAAACGGATACGGTAACATCTACATATTTGATCACGTCTACTGATTGAATCTGTGCAAAACTAATGCAAAGAATCATATGTCATTCGCTTTGTGCATTCTCAGAGTATCAGACAGTAGCAAAATATTTTGAATTTAACAGAAATGCAGCGCAGGACCGTGGGTTTGCATAGAACACACCAAACACGACAACGATCTACAGCAGGAGCTAGCTGAATCCCTTTTCCCAACTCACAGGCGGCGGCGGTGCGGCGGGCCTTCTCTGCCAGGCGACTGAGGACGGCCGTGGCCAGGATCTCCTCATAGGTGTGTGAGTTGGGCTCCTCCCCACAGCCGTCCGGGGAGGTCAGACTGTCCCGGGCCTCCGCCGGGGTCACCTGGGGTCAGAGGTCACAAGTCAGGGCTGTTCTGAGCCTCCAGCAGGGTCACCTAAGGTCAGACTTCAAGTCTCAAGATTACACTGAGTCGTCAGCAACAGGTCATATTGACTCGCGCCCCGCCGGAGTCAAGTCAGGTCACTTGAAAACAGGTCAGAGATCAGGCTCTTGGAATTCAAATCAGAGTGAAAACATCCTCCTCCTTCTTGAACCCACCCATTCCCTTGGCGGCATAGTCCCCTCACCTGGTCAGACCCCATGTCCTCCGGCAGCGGCAGCCTCATGCTGGCCTCCTGAGCCTCCTGTATCACCGCCTTCAGCTCGGCTAGCGTGGTGGTCGGACTGCACGCCTCATCGAGCGGCCTGTCTGCAGAGGTTACGAGTCAAGTCAGGTCGGGTTAGGTCAGACAAGGACAAGTCAAGTAGAAAGATAATTCAGCGGAGGGAGAAGGAAAGAGACCGTTAGATCAGGCGAATAAGTAGAGTAAATACATTTGAGGAAGAAGTCAAATCCAACACCGGTATTGCCAGTATTGCCTGTATTCCATGGACCCCGAAGTATTCAACTAAGTCAAGTTTGACTATGGACAGAAAGGTATTCAAGGAGTTGATAAAAATCATAGTAAGTTCAAGGCAAGTGAAAGCGATAGTAAGTAAACGGTCACGACAATCTTAATGAGTCAAGAAATAAGACAGACAAAAGAGAAGTTGCAAAACGACACGAAGGTGTCTCTCACTTTGCAGCGTCATGCAGAGGGATCGGGTCAGTCTGTTGATGGCCGCCACCAGTTTCGGGTGGTACTCTCTGTACAGCGCTGCGTCTGGGAGAGGGAGGGGGAGGCAGCGTGAGCCGATGTCAACCGATAAATCACGACAGTGATATGTCTTTGAGACACTGCTTGACAGCGCGCGAGAAGTCATGCTGAAAATCGGTGACAGCTCGATGGTGCAATAAATCGAGGGAAGCCCATAAAATATAGCAAAATAACTGTCACGTCATATTGGCAACAGCTGTATGGCATGTGACTCGAAGATAGTGGTGACATCACGGTTACAACTCTAGCATGTCACTGCTAATATATCACATATCGGTACCATCGATCGTAACGTTTATTCCTTTGACAAGCCACACACCACTGACAACATCAAGAGAACACGATCCTGTTTGCCCAACTCTCACTGACCGGTGGCGGCGGGTCGGATGCTGGCGCTCTGGATGGACGCTCCGAGCAGCGTCTCCACCACGTTCTCCAGGTGACCTCTGACCTCAGCCGTGACCTGGTCGGGGTCAGCCGGCGCCGCCGGGCCGCTCTGCTCCCCGGTGGCGGTGGGGACCGGGTGGCGCGCAGGTTCGTCGTGGGTTACCGACGGGTCGTAGCCAGAGTCGTCCTCGCTGTCCGCTGTAAGGGGAAGACAGAGGAAGGGAGATTAGTCGGGGTCAACCGTCACAATTGAAGAGCCGTACAGCGTTCAGTGGCGGCAGTGACGACAAAGAGGCAGACTGACTGAACTGAGAGACAGACGCCTCAGACAGACTGAGGCGGTTACTCAGACAACAATGTTAAGACGACTGAAACGGTCAGATGCATCCATCCGCTGGCAAATATCAGTCTGCTGGCAGTCAATGCTAGAAGGCGAAACAGGGACTGATACATCAATCACGCAGACTAACATACAGTCGATTTTTTCAGACGGAGTCGCTTGCCATCTGATAAACCGACAAACAAGAGAAAAGCATAATACAGACAAGTGGATGAGGATGAGTCAGCAGATGAAAATAACATTTCTGAGTTGCGTACTTCAAAGGAAAACACAGTTTTGCCCTTTACGCTCCATTTGGTATCCCACTGAGGGCCACTTTTCGAATGTCTCGCAATCGTTAAACAGCTCGTAAAAGGGGAGATAAAACCCAAAGCAATTTCTACCCGACATCAGACGACCTTCCGTCAGTCCGAGTTATGCCAGGTATGCCTATTGGCATTTATGTACACTGAAGTGTCCGATTATTGGCGGAGGCAGCTGACCCGAGGGTGGGAGGCCACACCAAACGATTTGTCGCTCGCTTTCCTAACTTCAAACCTATCTCGTTATTTCGTATTTTGTGCAGTAGCATCCGTGGCAATTTACGTGTGATAATTGACGCCGAAATATTCCAGCGGTCGCCTATTGCTGGAGGAACAGTTAGGACGACCGCTAAAAGTGTGATATGAGGACGAACCGTGAAATGGGGGCCAGAGGGCACGGGAAGGTTCCCATTGGTGGGAGCCTCGGTGATGGGAACAAGTGGACCTGCAGTCTGCACCGTGAACACCGGGAAGCTCGCTACATCAGCCGACAGCCGAGCAATTCGTCGATGGTCAGATAGGATCAGCACACCTGCGGGATTTCGGATCAGCCATGGAAAGGTGACATTGAAGCTAAGTTTTGGGCTTCGTCCGCCTATCCGAAACCGCACAAGACCTGGCGGCCGGATTTTAAGATCAATATTAACCCGCGCCCCGTAGGGCTACCGGCGGACCCTACCACCCGTAGGGGGGGGGGGGCCGTTTCGGCCCCCCCTAAGATCTCGGAAAGTTACCGGCCGATTTTCAAAATTCAAACGGCGTTCGATAGCCCCACCCGGGAACTACCTTGTGACCAAATTTCATTGACCTAGGTCAAACCGATGACGTCACAGGTCAGGTCAAAGGTCAGATTTTCACCGTTCACAGGCAATTCAAGAAATGTGCTGTGAAAGCGAGTAAATTGGTAATTTATTGGAAACCATCGATGGTACATTGTTCGTCAAACACATACTTTGCTATCTGAGGTCACTGATACCAGGTCAGGTCACAGCGAGGTCAGGTCACCGGGGGTCACAATATGAATGTGTCGTGTGATACATGTTTTATGGTCCATTTTACATGACAAATGCGATTATGTGGGTTAGGCAGCCTTTGGGGCCAGCCTAGGTCACGTTTTTGTGAAGGTCAGGTCAAGGTCAGGTCAAATTAGGTCAAATTTCAAAGTTGATATTTTTGCATAAAATGGGTATCGATTCGATGCAGCTCGTCACGGGGAGTCTAATGGTGGTCTTCGTTTTGCTCTACGAGTTCTAGAATTGCCAAAAATTGAGTTTGAAAATTTGACGTCATCATTTTTGAACAGTTTTTTCGCTATAACTTGGCCAAAAAACGAGGTATCGATCTGAAATTTGGTATGTAGATAGAAGACGGTAGGCACTATCACATATATTCCGGTTTTTTCGAAACTCAAAAAACTTTTTGGATTTTTTGGCGAATATATCCAAAAAATGTTTTTTTTTATTTTTGGGGGTCAAAACTCAAAAATTTCAAAAATTCGAGATAGCAGTTTTGTAGCCCTGTCAATTCTACACCTTTTATGTCTTGATCATTTTTCTGTATCTTCAAAGCTGTAGTCCTGACAGGTCTTCTCGCGAAGGTCTTTTTTCGGTCGAAAATGACAGAACATGACGTCACTCTGACGTCATTTGTGGCCAACCTATCATAGCCTCTGGAAAAATTTTTGGTCACAATGTGTAAAATTGATGCCCGGAGGGGTCCTGAAAGTTTGGTGGCGATATCTCCAGCCGTTTAGGAGATATCGACCGAAAAGGACAGGGGGGGCCGTTTCGGCCCCCCCCCCCCTACGGGGCGCGGGTTAATCAATAGTTCTTCAGAACTGGCATGAACAGCTTTGCGCGTTTTCATGGAAACATTTTCTATAAACAGCGTTATAGTTACATCCGGCAGCATTGTGTCGTTCACTGTGTGCCTTGTACGCACGGAATTGCCAGTCACTGCGAACATTACGAAACTCACACGCGTGCTTTACCATGAATACGAGTGAGAAGCGTGTCGTTTCTAAAGTAGCACGAATTATGATCATGCTGTAGCATTAATTGATGGTGCTAGAGAGGCGAATGGGGCTACGACAGACATATTCTAAACGTTATAAACAGGATAATAACCACCTGTTAGGGCCCATCAATCAGTTTTATTCTCATGTTTCTGCTAATGATAGAGATAATTAATGCACCCTTTATCACAGTCGCCTGCGACAAATCACCTCGAGTCACGTTACAGCTCTATCGCCAATGGACAGCCCTACCCATTCTCACTGCTACAGGCCTCCTCCTAGCCACCCTGCGGAGATCCCATCGTCGCCATCACCGTGGCTTTTCAGTCGGCTCACGAATCCCCACGCCGGCGCCGGCGGGGCGGGCGCGGCCCGGCACCGTCCATGGAAAGTGTCGCGGCGTCGACTGCCGTCGGCGGAGCGCGCCTGTCCCGGGGCGATGTCCGAACACCTCCCCGGACCACATCTGCACGGGAACAGAACGGAGACACCAGATGCCGGAGCCGGAAAACTCGGGGAATGGACGGGGAACGGTCGGCAGCCGGCACAGACGGGGTGACAATCACCAACCTCTATAGCAAGATCTATGAAGACGTGGGGAGCGCTATGTAGAAACGTGAGGAGCGTCCACGGCATCTTGCTGAGGCACTCACTAAGCTGCGGTACACACACATGCAAGGAAGACTATTCTTACCAATTACTTGGACAATCAATAAGCTTCAAATGAAACTGTTTAGTCACTAGTTAAAATGTTGAGCATGAAATGAACGATTTCAATCGATGTAAAGCAGAAGACGGAAACGGCAGTGATCGAAATATCTATAAGACGAACCATTAGCCGGAATGCTTGGAGGCGTTGTCGCCGATTCGACAGCTGCATGCCCACGCAGATGTCATGCGGTGAAAATGAAGGGAAGAAGCGGAAGAATTCGTCACACACCACCATTAGTGACGTCAGACTCGCCATTAGTGACGTCATAGTTGCCGGCGGCGACAGCAGTAGGAGACCATCCGTCCAACATATGTCGCTAATCGGAATTCACAATACATGCGTAAAAATGTGAAATCCACGCAAACAGCGCTTACCAATGTGAGTGCGGGGAGGTTTCACTTAGCCCAGGCCCAGCTAAACCTGCTTGGTCAGGTCAGATGAAATCAGGCGAGGTCAGGCCATGTCATGCCTGAGGTCATGTCATGCCTGGTCAGGCGTATCCTCAGGTCAGGTCAGGTTAGATAAGGATGGGGGACGTTATGCTCAACCACGAAGTCACACCGGCCATTCCCCGGAATTATGCGTGCATTGAGCACTGAAAAGTGCGTGTACGCGTCCGCTCAAAACAGGAGCTTCAGAGCTAGCCCCAGGACCAACTTAAGTTGCGCGGTCACAAACTGTATCGATATACCTACATTGTCTCGGTTACTCAAGGCATTGCTAAGTTCGCGTCATGAATCGAAGCAGGTCCAAGTCTCAAGGTTTTCCCGATGATGTCAGCACCGGTATCACCATCGGTATCAGGCTTAGAATTGACATCAGCAATGTGATGACATTTAGAGTAAGAGTGCTTAAGTGAACATTGTATCCTTCTCTCACTTCATGCAGAAATGAAGGGTCATTATCAGTTGAGCATTCAATCGAACACTCAAACGCAAGCAGATATTATCTGGGGTAGAAATAGCCATTATGATAGGATTAAAGGCTGTGAATTGAACGACGACAACCGTACGAATGCCTTCAAGATATAGCGATTGGAGACACGAGCTGCCAGGTACAGATTGCAGCAACACAATCTGTCCTTCTTACAGATTTCGTCATATAGCAAGATTTTAGCTGCACGTTTGCAAGAATAGGTGAATAAAAGGGGGACGAGCCAGCGTACCTTCAGACTAGTGTGAGAGTTGAGATACAACTTGGCATCCAGCAACAGGCCTTGAGCGGGAGCTGAACGACCTGTGGACATACAGCCAAGCGATACGAAGCGAGTGTACATAGACCGGCATACGGACTTACCCCGTAGCTCGGCGGTCAGCAGGCGCAGGTCACAGCCGGCCAGTAGCAGGGAGATCACCACACAGGCGATCACACCCGCACACACCAGCGCAGCGAAAGACACGGCCATTGGGACGGAGTGAGTCGGTCACCGGTAGGGTAAAATGGACCGCAGGTCAACACCGGGTCACCAAAGTCATATCACAACGGATCACCAACGATTGTTGGGTACACCAGGTTCACCAGGCTGCACATGATTGCAGTTGAGTCTCTGATCACAATGGCACTTCCTCACCACCAACCGGGCGCCCAGTTTGCAGGTCTCTGAGATCAAGCCGGTGGACTCCAGCCCCAGCCACGACGGCCGACCGTCTCCTCTGCCGACTGACCCTCCGTCTGCCCGGAGGCCCACCGACGACACCGATCAGCTGACCTGTCGTCGGCGCCGGCCCCGCCCGAGGACGTCTCGGCGGCACGGTGGGGAGGGGACGGGGAAGGGGAGCCGCAGGGATGAGCACTCGGCGGACGACGGTCAAATCTGACCAGAGAACTGTAATGCTCCTGCAGTGCAAAGTTTCACGAAGTTGTTGAGATGACCAAGGAACACTGTCATAGACAGTAGAAACGCCGGTAACTTCTGCAGCACTTCCACTGCACTACCATCAGGCTTCTATGAGAAATAGCACTCGAAAAGTCACCTCAGTTTTCAGTTAGATGAGAAGAGATCAGCATACCGCTACTGCCCGCCTCCAGGCTCCCGGAAACACTCAGCACTCGGCGTTTACCGGAGACATGTCACTGTCTCCACCAATCGCTTTCTCGGACTTCCACCACCACCTCTCTTCCTCCCCTCTCTCTCCCTCTCCGCACTCTCTCATGCAGCGCCGTGACCCAGCCGATCCCCTTCCGAGCGAGCCGCCGGCCGTCCACTATCCAACTCGTGACTGCTGAGCCCTGATTGTCACCGAGTCCGAGCGAAGCTGACCGTCACCGCCGCCCTGATAGCACCAACTCGGCGATTCACTCACAAACACTGAGTGACCCCGACGAGCCGACAGAGGAGCCTCCTATCGTGTCAGTAGATCGGGGACGGTGTACACAGATAGAGCGTGTCCAGCGTGCCGTCGCTGCGTCACATTCGTGACAGGGGCGCGGCGAGACGCTTTGAGGGCTGCGCCGGCGAGGGGCAACTCGGAGTATCGTCGAGCTATCGCGCAGGAATGACGAGATAGCCAGGTTGAGTCAGAGTAAAGGGAACAGGTGATACAGAGGATGGAGTGTTTTCTGTGATAGCTGGCCAGTGTGATTGGTGCAAAACTGCTCTGACCAACGTCCTCAATGGATAAAAACGACAAAAAGGAGATATCAGACAAACCGATCGATCGAAACAACGAAAGTGCGTTCCGATAAAAAGCGTCAAGTGTGTAGTTTCCGTAGGACAGAATAGTTAGGTCAGTTGTTGACCCAAGTGGTGGCCTTCGATCTAATATGAGCCCAGTCTGTTAGTAAATAACCAACACTATCAGTTACATCGGTAGTTGTGGCAAAAACACAACTTCACGCTATAGGTAAAAATCCATCGAAACCATCATCCTGATAAATTAAAGGTTAAACAAATGTTAATGTGAACGAGCAAGCGTTTGGAGGGAGCTCAGACCGGTGAATGTAGGCATACTTTTGATGATTTACCTACGCAATATGCATATTTTAGCTAATTGGTGAAGCCTGAATCGGCCAAAGTCACCTTAATTGCAATGGAGATAAATTCAAAAAGGTAGATTGGTTGTACGCTCAAGACAAAATAGGTAGGTGATCGTAAATCTCGGCATATGATTGCCTTTTTTAGCTGACAAATACCATTCAGTCTGAATATCGCCCGATATAAATACACGTGTCTGAAACCTGCGTCACATGCAGTAGGTATAGTATAGGACATAGGTGACGGAATCGGTACTCACAGAGGCGGCTGCCCGGTGTTCGGACGCTGACTCGGTGTCTTAGCTGAATCTCAGACAGCCACTTGTTGGCCTGCAGCTCCCTGGAATAAGGACAAAAGACAGCGGCTAAATAAATGCAAAACACAACGATTAAACAAATACAAACACAACGGTCAATCAACTACAAAACATAACGGGCAATCAAATTAGATTCAACTTTTCCATTCTGCTCCTCGAAACAGCAAACATTTTCCATCCCGAGCCCGAAAGAGCGGCAAACACTCCCCAAAGGTATACCTATTCCGTCTTCCGAGACCTATACCTATTCGGACAGGATAAAACAGCTCTGACCAGTGACCACCAGTACGAAGAAAGTCCGGAGAATATCGTAATCGAGACATGCGAAACAATACACGAACTACACAGCGTACTCGTAGGAAGCTGTACATACCATACTCCGTAACACACCGTACCACACACCAAGTCCACACTCTAATCCAGGTGGCCTGCCGGGCCACACACTAACCCAGCACGGTGGAACCGCACCGCTCCTACATACAATTATCGCCCGGTGGCCGCCGGACAGCCACGGCCCACTGATAAATGTGGGAAGGGTGTGCGGAGGCTCCCTAACCGTCCGTACCGTACATACAGAGTAGCGGGTCGAGCTAGGGACTCGGCGGCCTAGTGTGGCCTTCACAAGGTGGGATACGGAGCGTGAAGGAGACTGACACAAAAATATAGCCATGCCGGCAGCATATAGATAAGTCTTTGCTACGTATGCTTAAATTTTTCAGGCCAAAGTAATTAAATCGGTACCATAATAAATTAGCACATACGTATTATTAATTATTTAAGCTCTCTACGAAAGACACGCTTCTATTGCTTCGTTTCATCCAGTGGTCGCAGTACCGCGTTCTTCTAATCAGCTGGATAATTGGGCCAGTACCCAGCCTGTGTGTACCACACCCACTAAACCCTGCTCCATATTCCTCCCATCCACCCCAGCCCTGTCCGAATGCCGGCATGGTAACGGCTATTGCACACAGTAATTGGATGGTGGGGTGAACTCATAAAAACATCTAACAGCTGACAATGACAAACGTTAAATGTAAGCCAATGCTAGACGGCCTATATTTGTATAGAATAAACCCAAGATTGCACCTAAATGTTTCCTTGCATACGCGGAATAATATCCACAGATATGTCGCGGTCAAAGAAACGCATTTATTTGCTCTTTTTTGGGGAGGACGCAAAAGGTAAACTTTTGCGAAACAATTAGGTTCGCATCATACGATGGATGACGCATGGTTCAGAGCGGATACAACAAATCGGGTAGGAGAGGGACTTTCATGAATTAGGACGTAATAGGATAGCAGGTGATATCATGGTGGGTAGAATGATTATGAAGCGGAGAGAGAGAGAGAGAGAGAGAGAGAGAGAGAGAGAGAGAGAGAGAGAGAGAGAGAGAGAGAGAGAGAGAGAGAGAGAGAGAGAGAGAGAGAGAGAGAGAGAGAGAGAGAGAGAGAGAGAGAGAGAGAGAGCTCAGAGCAGGCATGGCAGTGGGCTGGCGGAACAGATTCGTCAGGAAGAAGCCGGGTAGGGGACGAGGACGGTGAGAGTAGAAGCGAGGAAAAGAGGACAGGGGCGGAAGCAGGACATTGTAATTAGACGACATCCACTGACCGACCTTCCGTCACACATCGTCACAAATGCGTCACGCCACCACAGCTCCACTAATGGCCATCACAATACCGTTTATCTACATCGTCGTCAGTGTAACGAGTCACGAGATGATGAGATGAAAGTTATATCCCTGACTCTCACTCCCCCTTTATCTCTATATTTGCATGAGTGTTAATTGCGCGTTTGTGTCCGCTACCCTTTAGGCCGCTATGGACCTGGGCTGCTCACACAGGATTGCCCACCCGTAACCCGCTTGCGCACGCCCTCCATTTCGTGACCCCCTGTCACGCTGCCTGATAATGACCGGTTAACGTGCAATACCGGCTGTGAAGCCCACCTCCCTCCTGACGCGCCCATATATAGTTGTGTAAGCGTGAAGAGCGAGGGGAGAATGTATGGATAACGTACACATACGGACAATAATATAGGCACAGGCAGTATGCATAGCGGGGCATCTTGAGATGCGTCCATACTTACGGCAGTGACCGCGCTGTTCGCGTAAACCATGAACATCGTCTCGCGGTGCTCGTGCGGGATAGGGTGCTCTCCGTTTCACTAAGGGACGGACCGCACGTCTCACTACCAGGTAAGTAGGTACTTACGCGTTGCAGGTGAACACAATCTCTTTCATGATCCACTGTGCCGCTTCATCAGTTCACATCACGGCGCGTTTACACCTTTACGCGTTTCACCTTTACACACGTCAGCTGAGAGCTCGCGTCAGACCACACACATCAGCTCGGCAATCCCGATACGCATCACTTCACATCACAAGCCAGGGAAGAGCGGGAGTATCACCATCCACTCGAGCTGACACCACCAGTACCACCATCACCACCTCTGCACCAGCACCACAGCACCAGCTAGTGAACCCCTCACATCACCACCGAACAGGCCGCAGCCCGCAGCGCCCCTCCGGCCATCCGGCTGTGACCGCACGGCCGCCAACCCACGGAGAGGACTGGCGGTCAGTCGGTTCTGCCGGCACCAGCCGCCGCTTCAGCCGCCTGTGACGGCTCTCTGGCCAGCCTACCTGCAGCGGTAGCGTCACTGTCCGACCGTCACACAGCGTCACACGGCTCGCCGCGTGCTGGCGCGCCGCACACACCGGATGCGAGCGGGCGGGGCCGGCCGGCCGGCCGACCGCCGCGCCGTGCGGCCTCCCCCGCCCCGGTCCGGGTTGGCCCCCCCCCCCCCCCACACACACACATACAGCACACACGGACTGACAACCACACAGGTGAACACAGGTGCGCGCATTGACGTCGAGTTGTGATTGGTTAATGCGAGTCAGGGAATCAGAAACAGCCTCTCAAAATGTGTTGCGTCGTATGTGGAGGCAGACAGAATAGGTAAGCTGATGCTGATGCAAAGATCGACATCTCTCTGCAAGCGCAGATATGGTTGGGTCTAGTCCATTGATAAAACGAAGCTGTCACTGGCCTGGCGAGGGTGTGATACCACAATCTGTTTTAGATCGAATCTTATCAGTAATCTGGCCAAAGCTGCTCGGTCCCACTCACGAGCGATAGTGCGATAGCATGTCACAGGAGAGTGGATCTACACGGAAAGACATAATTGTAATCTTTAAACTTTAAAACTCTTGGCACAATCACGACAAATGGTGTCATCTCACTTATTTTAAGGCCGAGTAGTACTAGTGAGTACCTAAAAATAGCTAGTCGGTGGTGATAGCATACGGTATGCTGTTTATGTTTATGTTTTATGTTTATGTTTATTTGCTCATCACCAACAGGTACGGATAAAACCCGGTTACAGGTGAAGTCATGGATAAATATAAGATAAATCTATATAAATACACGCAACCCTTCGGACGGACAAAAGCTCAATAAAAGCCAGCTCGTGCAGCATGGAGCCTTACAGCATTTGCATTTTAATTGGAATCCCTAGACCCTAGGTTATACATTATTTTACTTTGACCCAGTATATTCCACCCTCCATTTCCTTACGCCCTTGAATTAGAACTCAGGCAGAGCATAAACCTCTTTTGGAGTGTGGACCAAGCGCTACAAAGAACTTTCGTTATGCACCAAATGTTATGCCTGAGCCCGTCAACTTATTCATAAGTCCCCTGAGAGATTTGACCACCCGGATCTCACACCCACGCACTCATCCGATACAGGTGTATCTCTAATGACGTCACAAAGATTGAACTGCCACGCCGGTGTCTCCCATATGGCAAGGATCGATCTATTGCGAGTACGTACAGACGGTACAGACAGACAGAAGTAGGTTGAATGGTTGAGGGACACTCGACGACCCGACAACACGACAGTGGTATCAGGTGTGGATGGAGCGAAC